TTATTTGACGATTTAGGTGAACAATGTACTTTGATAGTCATGGGCTGCTAATATGATTTCCACATTTACAGTTTGAGAAGTATACTATTCTGAAATTATATTATTATTAAGGAAACGTTTGAATGTACGAACTTTAACACAATGAAAAATGGGTTAAATAAAGAATAAATAGATCTTAAAAATTGAGCTGTACAATACAAAAAAAGTAATGATTAGTTGATTTGATGGCTTATTTTCCAGCAAATCCTGAGAACTTGTGCCACTCTTTCTATATTGTTTACCATGGTACTTTGAATATTCGGTCTGAAATCACATGCAAGTATGACTTGAAAGCAACATTAGCACTATTTAATGGACTGTAAACACTGTTGTACTTTTGATAGTCATCGGCAGCTAATGTGACTTCCACATTAAGAATTTGCAAAGAACACATTTTGAAGTTATATTACTAAGGATAACATTTAAATGTGTGAATAAAAAAACAACTGTACTCAATCACATTATAGGAATGCTAAAGATTTAGTCAAAAGTCAGTAGCAAGCAACGATAAATAAAGAAATTTGCTTCCCAGAATGTGTTTAAATGCACTCTTCTGCATCTCAAATCAATACATATATAACATAGGATGCTTGTTTTCAAATATCTGACACATTTATAAACTATTATTACACTTAAACGAGGCTTCATCTGCTGAATCAACACAATCACATTGTCAGATGCGTTTCGGCCCTCGAAGCAAAACGTGTTTGAATGAGCAAACCTGCTGCTCTTCTGTGCTGGTCTCCACTTCACTGGACATCACGACAAATTATAAATGCAAAAAACAAAACAAAAGGACATAAAACACAAATAAGGAAGACTTGGCTTCACTTCGCCCCGGGACAGCCGTTATCGGTAACTGACCGCCCGCCGTTGCTGCTGTCTTGAAAATCCTAAATGTTCTTCTTCGAGAGGAAAAGAGCGACTCAGTGTGTCACTGAGCTGCACTGCTGTTGTGTGGACTGGAGAAGAACTGCACCACAAATATAAACAAAAAACGTCACAACAAAACAACTGCACAACATATCCGAAAAGAAGTACATTATTATTGGATACTATAAAGGTACAACCAATATACAAGAAAACTAAGATATTAACTTCTTTATTTTGTATGGGAAATATTTTATTTACAAACAAAAATTCTCAAATTTGCAGCCTTTTCATTTTAATTAAAACTGATGTATTTAGTAAATCTCTTAGATCGGTTAAAAATAAGTGATAGATTCTTGGAATATTACGATACATAATTTAGAAATATCATAGATACATAAGTCCTCTATGTTGTATTTGTGTTTATTTTTTTATATAAATATTTTTATTTCTATTATTTTAACTGTTTTATAAGTATTTTTAATATCATTTAACTCGTTTTACGCACTTCACACCAGAACCCAGAACTAGGAAACACCCATACACTCACATACACTACTGTCAATTTTGCTTACCTAATTAATCTATACCATGTCTTTGGACTGTACATGGGGGAAACCAGAGCACTTGGAGGAAACACACACCAACACAGGGAGAACATGCAAACTCCCCACAGAAACGCCAACTGACCCAACTGGGACTCGAACCAGCAACCTTCTTGCTGTGAGGCGACAGTGCAAACCACTAAGCCGCCATGTCACCCTCAAATATATTACTGTACATTAGTGTTCTCTATTGTGCAGTAGTCAACATTTGAAGTGGTTTCATCAAAGTTTTCCTAAAACTACTGAACAACATTTATTGTTTTACGTCAAATTTGAAAAACATTTTTGATCCACTTCAAATATTGACTACTGTTTATTAAACAAATATCTTAATACTACTTCTACTACTAATTAACAAGTATAAAATATATAGTGCAAATAGGGGCTGCACAATCTCCTCACAGCAAGAAGGTTGCTGGTTTGAGCCTCGGCTAGGTCAGTTGGCATTTCTGTGTGGAATTTGCATGTTCTCTCCGTGTTGGTGTGGGTTTCCTCCGGGTGCTCTGGTTTCCACCAGTCTAAAGACATGCGCTATAAGTGAATTGACCAAGCTAAATTTTCCGTAGTGCATGTGTGTGAATGAGTTTGCATGGGTGTTTCCCAGTGATGGGTTGCAGGTGGCAGGGCATCCACTGCGTAAAACATATGCTGGATAAGTTGGCAGTTCATTCCACTGTGGCGACCTCTGATTATTAAAGGGACTAAGCTGAAAAGAAAATGAATGAATAGTGCGAATGCGAGGTACAATAAAATCTAATTTAATTTTATAAATCTATATGCTACTTAATGCATTTTTCATTTTTTATGGACCAAATATTGTGTCAGATTTTACAACAGACAAGTTAAGACTAATTGTAGGCCCCCGACCAGCCTGAACACCCGCCGGTGACCTACACACATCTGCAGCTTCTCCACGATCCACGATGGACGTCCAGCGATCTCCAGCAGCTAGACTCCAGCTCTGCACAAGAAGTTTGGCCAAAGAAGTAATGGTCATACTCAACTGAGCCTGGTTTCTCTCGAGGTTTTTTCCCCTTCACTTTCGTCAATTGGTGAAGTTTGGTGCTCGCCGCTGTCTTGCTTGGTTTGGGACTTGTGTAGCAGCAAACATCGATAGATTTGCTCTTCAGTGTTTGAACTTTCAGCAGTGAAAATTAAACCACACTGAACTGAGCTAAACTGACTGGACTGACAGTTTCAATTAACTAGAACTTCTATGTTAAGCGGTTTTGACACAATCCACATTGTAAAAATGCTATAGAAATAATCAATTCAATTCATGTTTATTTATATAGCGCTTTTACAATATAGATTGTGTCAAAGCAGCTTTACATAGAAGCTCTAGTAAAGTCCAGTTTTCAGAGTTGAAGTTTAGTTCAGTTCAGTTCAGTGTGGTTTACATTTCACTGCTAAAGGTTCAAACACTGAAGCGCAAATCCATCGATGCACAGCTCCACAAGTCCCAAACCAAGCCAGCCAGTGGCGACAGTGGCAAGGGGGAAAAAATGAATAAATAAAATTTAACAGACGAAGTGAAGGCGACGCAGTAGGTAGTGCTGTCGCCTCACAGCAAGAAGGTCGCTGAGCCTCGGCTAGGTCAGTTGGCGTTTCTGTGTGGAGTTTGCATGTTCTCCCTGCATTTGAGTGGGTTTCCCCCACAGTCCAAAGACATACGGTCCAGGGGCCTCATGTATCAACGCTGCGTACGCACAAAAACTTTGCGTACGCCAGATTTCACGCTCAGAATCGCTCACGTTTGGATTTACTAACAATGAACTGAACGTGGGAATGTGCGCAGGTTCACGGCAGGTTTCTGGCAGGCGTACGCACATTTTTTGTGCGTGTCTGTTTTATTTCCATTGGCGACTCCTAGAGGCAGTTGTGTTAAATTCTTCTCTACAAAGTGTCTGATCCTTGCTATGGCAGCTGTATGAGACGGGTTCATATAGTAGGTATGTAAGATTTCCATACCACACAGTTGACCAGCTAAACATTAAAGCACAATTTGCAGCGGTCGCCTGTTTTCCCAATGTAATCTGAGCAATCTACTGCACGCACATTGCTATAAAGACACTATGTGAAGATGAATTTGCATGCGTGAATCAGAAACATTTCCATTCAATAAATGTGCAAATAAAATATGATGCACAAACTTATTGATGATTCCTACTTGTCTTTCTTGTGATAAATAGTGGGCAAAATATAGTTGGCAAAATCTGATATGTAGCGGGGAAAAAAAAGAAGAAAGAGTTTATCAGACGCTGGATTCGAGCCGAGTTTATGCTCGAGCGCGTCAGTACAAGATCACATGCTTCTTATGAGGTGCGCCACTGAGACTGCTAAGGGTGCTGCAACATTTTTCAGTTATAAACCAGACTATTTTTGTTCTAAATGCACTCAGTGTGATGTTCAGACCCAACTGTGTTAACCGTATCAGCTAAACTCTCCCACTCTATTTTTTTCTTTTGTTGTTAATTCCGGAGAACAAACTTGCAAATAACACCGCTTTTCTCCGGTCTACCTCCGAAAGCAGCACCTCCATTTCACATTCTGTTCAAAGTTTCTCTTTTTGCTTGATTTTGCCGTTGCTTTTTCGTTGGGTTTTGCCATTAGCATAGTCATTAGCATATTCATACGGGGAGGAGGCAGGGAGGGGTTTTGCGCTCGTGCATGTTGCGCTCAGTTTCACGTTCATTCAGATGTACAAAAGAATATGCGTGAGATTCGGCGTACGCAGTGTTTCATACATCTGAATTTTTTTATGCGTACGCACATTTACAGCTTTGTGCGTACGCAATGTTTTAGTAAGATTTCCACGCAAGTCTTCGTACATGAGGCCCCAGGTGAATTGGGTAGGCTAAAATTGTCCGTAGTGTATGAGTGTGAATGAGTGTGTGTGTGGATGTTTCCCAGGGATGGGTTGTGGCTGGAAGGGCATCCACTGCGTAAAAACGTGCTGGATAATTTGCTGAGGCGACCCTGGATTAATAAAGGGACTTAGTCGACAAGGAAATGAATGAATGAATGAATGATGAAGTGAAGGGAAAAAACCTCAAGAGAAATCAGGCTCTGTTAGGCATGACCATTTTTCATCTGCCCGAACTTCTTGTGTGGAGCTGCAATCTAGGCGACGGAGGCTGGAGAACGTTGGACGTCCATCGTGGAGAAGCTGCAGGTGTGAGTAGGTCACGGGGGGTGATCAGGCTGGCCCACAGGATCGGTGCGGGGACTTGTGTGCCATTGTGGTCTTTCAGGAATCAGTCTCATGCACTCCCCTCCTCCATGACCACCACAGCATCAGCTCAACACAAACATGAACATAAATTGAATTAATAAACTTATTATTTTCCAGCTAAAATTGATTTATACAGATAAATGTAAATAAACATCATTGATGCTCTTGACAATCAAACAATTTGAAAGAGTTTAAATGTATGTCGTTTATCGAGGCTGGATGGAAAAACACACAGAAAGAATCATGACATGAAGCATTCGCAATAACATTTTTAATGTACATAATTATCAAAAATTAGTTGCATTTTCTTACATATTTTACAGTGATAAAAATAGAGCTCATGGAAATGAGAAAAGTAAGCTTTTAATCAATCTAATATTGGTCCATGGTGTTTTTCTTTGATTGAAGCATGAATAAAAATACACACTGAATAGACTTAATTTTGAACATGTAAACAAAGAGCTTGGAGTTACATGTGATCAACCATTCTCAAACTGCATCTGTTTTCACTTAATAATGATGAAAAAGCATAACCTGTGCGCTTCTCTGAAATCCCCAAATAACAGAGACAATCCCCATAAACTCTCATAGAACTGAGAAACCAGCTTAAAACATGAGCAACCAAAACCACCCATCAGTTCTGCATCCGGGACACCAGATAATAAAGCAGGAAGAAGGCCACAACCAGACCCACGGACACGTAACACAGGATCTTTCTGTTGTCTCGACCCGATCGGACCATTGTGGAAAACCTCTTCACGCTTCCAGTCAACAAACCAGTTGCGCTGAGAAAGTTGGAGTCCTGAGTAAACAAGGATGTAAAAGCACATGATGACGAGTTACAGCCTTCCGCCAACACTGCAAATACAGCATTGACACACTCATGCATACCGTGGCCAAGAGAGATTAACACACTGCAATTTAAGAAAACACATGCAATTACAAAAAACACCAGCAAATTAAGCAAAGATTTTCCACAGGTTGCAAATACTCACAATGCAACCAAATTAAGAATGCAAGCTGCATTTTCTCACAACACAGGCAAATAGCATTGCACACAACAGAAATATTTCAAGGGGAGACTAAAACGTGATGGACTCAGATATTTAGGTTATGGTTATTGAAGCTAATAATATACAAAAGACAAATGGATTGGTGGAATCAGGATGTTAAAATAAACAAAGATCACTTTACTGAGCAATAGTCAAGGCACAATAAGCAAATCCCAGACAGGTATGTCATGCTTTTGAGTCAACTTAAAACATTTCTGTTGTGTCCCGTGCAGAATGCAGTGTGTTTTCTTTATTTGTTTGCGTTGTGAGGATTTGCTGTCAAACCGATGAAGATTTTTACTTAATTTGCAGGTGCAATTTTTGTAATTGGATATCAGCCACTGTGAATTTACACTTACCATCCCATCCAAATAGGCATTCTGTTCTTCCGCATCTTTGTCAATGTCGTATGCTAGCTGCGAAGGAGAAAACAAAATATAAATGATTTTATTTTAAATAACATTATATATTTATATTTTATTAAATGTGTTTATTTAGATCTCCATTAGGCACTTTCAATGTATTGACTATTCTTAAATAACTAATTTATATTAAGATAAAACAACAGAATAAAATACCAAAAAAAAAAAAAATATACAAATTTACACTAAACCAGAATTGTATAAATATAACAAAGCATACAATTTAATTTTTTTTTAAAACATCAAAAGTATCAATTAACTAAATATATAAATTAATTATAATAAGACATTATATTAGTCAATGGGTGATTATGATGGAACAGTTCTTGAAAAAAAATCATTTATTTTCAACATTTAATGTGCACTCTCAAAAGGTTTCAACAAAAAACTTTTGTTATAAGAGACAATAAAAACAACAGACAGACAGACAGACAGACAGACAGACAGACAGACAGACAGACAGACAGACAGACAGACAGACAGACTGACTAAATACTTTATGGCAAGAAAATAAATATTTACTACCTCATGACCATTTAAATATGCCAAAATTTTCTTTATAATATTATACATAGAAGTTTTTATGAGAAGCAGATCTAAGAAAACATTTAGATTTTTTGCCTATGCCACCTCTTTCAGAAAAGGAGAAAACCTCAGCCTTGTTCATACCATACACACAAGACTTTTTTCCACTTGCTGGAATTGAAAAGAAATGCTGAGGGAAAATTTTATGTAAAACTGAATCTTTTTAGACTGATGTTTTTAGCTAAATGTTTAGTTTAATAAGAAGTGAAATTGAGGTGAAGTTGGTCTTATATTTGCACATTTGCTCATTTTTGAACAATGACAACTTGTCCCCATGTGGTTTACCATGTTACATTGAAAACTCTGGAGTCTGAAATCGCATGCAAGTATGACTTTAAAACAACATTAGCACTATTTAATTGACTGTGAACAATGTTATACTTTGATAGTTATTGGCTGATAATATGACTTCCACATTTAAAATTTATAAGGGATACTGAAATTATATTATTAAGGAGAATATCTGAATCTCTGAGTATTAAACCAACTTTATTTATACTTGATTTCAGGGAAATTTTAGAACACCATTGAGATTTTCAAAATGCTTTTCAGTGTAGCTCATTATACTCAAAATAATAATAATAATAATAGATTTTAGCAGATCTTTGACTAGTTCTGACTTACAGACTTTAGTCTCGAGACTTTACTGGCCAGATTTTCCGCCATCCGCTTATTTTCAGCATCCAGCATGTCATCCACAGCTCCATGTCCTGAAAATTACATTATTATTCAATAATTTTGGGCTGTTACAACATTCTCATCTGAACACCTTCATATTTAAGTAAATTTGTTCAGGCAAAATCAACAACCGAAGCTACTGTTAGACAATAAAAGCTTTATAATATTTTAATATAATGTATACTATCATGTAACTTAGCTATAGTACTGCTTAAAAAGTGTAAGAACTGCATATTAAAAGAGAACTGCTACGTGTCACTTACCTCGATTCCATGGATCAGCCATTTTTAAAGAGCTAATCGGCTAACAACCTTGTGAAAATACTCCAAAAGACGCCAAACACCGACGAAAAATATTCTTATTATCCGCAAAAGACGTATAAATGTAATTCGCACACATATAATGTTAATAAAACTGTTGACAAAAGTAAACAGAGCGCATTTATCCCGAAGAGAACCGCCAAACAGCAGCAGTGTACAGTGAAGCGCAGCTGTCGCGAGGGAATTGTGGGATATGTTTATCCGCCGGTCATTCATTTTTCTATCATAAGGACTCTGTCTGATTGCATAAGCTTCCTAGACTGCCATCTGCTTGCGTTTGGGTTTTAAATGTTTTGTTCGGTTAGTATTATTTTACTAAACGACATCGATATGAAATAAACAGCGCCTGACACTTGTGCTGGTAAGCATCTTTATCTTATAAAAACCTTGATAATCCTGTCATCATGATGGCGATCGTAAAACACAATAATAAAGGATGCATATTGAAATTAAGATTTTTGGATGTCTTAATGCGCTACAATGCATTCAATTAAATGAAGAAAATATTCTAATATAATGCAAAATAATAATTGAAGGGGATTGAAAAATATTAATCGTTTTAATGCTGATGTTTTAACAGGAATTAGGAGATTGGATGACATTAAGAGCGGTCTATCAGCTACTGTCATCTGAATTTTCATACCGAAAAAAATTGCTTTGAAATATGTAAAATAATCGATGAGCTTACGCGCTTCTTTGATGATGTACAACCAAATTATGATAAAACGTTATAATATATGTATATATTTGAAATAGTACATGTATATATTTTATGTTTGAGTGAAACTAAACTATTCAAAATAGCATTGTCGCTCCTGATTAGACAGTTTCATGGCAGTTTTTCCCTTAATATTACCATTTATTTAATTAAATAATTATATTTTAAATTAGTTAAATATAAAAACTAAAAGAAATATAAATGTAATTGTTTAAAATTATGAATACGCTTTGATATCTGTGCAACTAACAAAAGAAAATTTATGAGTTATCTGTTTATGCATAAAATAAACAAAAATAAATCAATTAATTAAAATTAAGCTTTAACTATTATATTACGAGTTACATCAAAAATTCTTCGATTTTTATTTATTATAACCTAATAATATAATTTATTAATGTAACCTTTATTATAATGTTATTATAACCTTATTCATTATGTAATTTATAAATGTAACCTTTTGCATTATTATTAGGCAAAACGTTACCTTTAGGTAAAAGATTTTAAAATTATGCAATTCAATGCATATATACTGTAAACCTAATTTATTATTATTATTATTTTAGCAGTATAAGTAAAACAAAACGCTTAATTTAATGATGAATTAATGATAAAATGTAATGTCAAACTGCTTTGTATATTGTAAAAAGGGCTAAAGAATTAAAGATAAACTAAATTAACTAAAATGTACTTCATAATTTTTTCTTTATTTTTCAAGAAACCCTTAGTGTTACTGTATATTTTATTTCTTTTTTTTTAAATTCCTTCTACAGTGCGGAGCACCAATTGGCCACAAATTGTCATAATGTTGGCCCGCAAAGGTCTTTTGCCTGATGGGTTCTTGTTAACGCGACTCGCTGAAGATGCACAACCCAGCCGCATCCGGCCAAAGTCACAAAGGGCACGTTTCATCACCAAGAGCGGCTCATGTAATGTAGCCCACAAGAATATTCGAGAACAGGTGAGATTTTCCTATCAGTTCTAGGCTAAAGAAAAGTTTCAATTGAACCAGTTGCAGTGTTCATAAGAGATTATTGCTTCTCAGGGTCGGTTTCTCCAAGATGTGTTCACCACTATGGTGGACCTGAAATGGCAGCATTCTTTGCTCATCTTCACCTCAGCGTTCCTCTGCTCCTGGATGCTCTTTGCCATGGTGTGGTGGCTCCTGGCATTCGCTCATGGAGATCTAGAACCTCGAGATCCCAATGAACCCGGACCTGTGCCGTGCGTCACATCCATTCACTCCTTCACTTCTGCTTTTCTGTTCTCCATTGAAGTGCAGGTAAGGATCAATCTGGAAAGATATGACTCTGTTTCCATCTAGAATTATTATGACATGCATTTTCAGTAATCCAAATATTTTAGACTCCGCATACATTTTTATTTAATGTCATCCACTTGTGATTGGACTGACTGAAAAGTAATACTAGTTGTCAAAACTGAGGGAGAATAAACAATGTAATATTTTTGGTAAACTATACCTTAACAGCACTGAACAGGATGTGAAGTAGAAGTTGACGTCAATCTTCTGTGGAGGCGGGGCTTATCCACTCTATTACATCATAGAGTAGAACATTCAAGAATCTGTTATCTTCAGACTGCCTTCAATATAATCTGTATTTAGAGGAACCACAAAGTGTTCAGTTCTAAAACTTACAGGATATTTTTATAGTACTATGAGCTCGTACATGTCAAAAAATTAGGGGATTTTTAGGTTTCACAGTTAATGACCCCTTTAAATCGTCTGTAAAATAATGAAGCATTTGTAATACCAGGTAACTATTGGTTTCGGAGGACGAATGGTGACGGAAGAGTGTCCGCTGGCCATCATAGTCCTCATCATCCAGAACATTCTGGGCCTGATCATCAACGCCATCATGCTTGGCTGTGTGTTCATGAAGACAGCTCAAGCCAACCGCAGAGCAGAAACCCTCATCTTCTCCCGTAACGCAGTCATTGCCCCAAGGAATGGCAGACCGACTCTGATGTTTCGTGTTGGAGATCTGAGAAAAAGCATGATCATCTCTGCCAACATACAGCTGCAGGTGACAGATGTGTTTATTTCTTTACTGATGTATTTAGATCATTGAAGAACCTTAACATCCACAGAACCTTCTATTAGAGAGTTCTTCATTTTAGTCCTTTAGATCAGTGTTTCTCAACCACGTTTCTTTGAGGACCACACGCTTTGTACATTTTCCATGTCTCCTTAACCAAACACACCTGATTCAGACCATCAGCTCATTAGCAGAGACTGAAAGACCAGTAATTGGTTTGACGGACAAAGGAGACATCCAACACATGCAGTGTTGGTGGTCCTCCAGGAACGTGGTTGAGAAACACTGCTATAGATCCTTAATATGTCCTTCAAACTAAGATTTTTTTATTATTATTGTTTTATCACCCGGTTCAGACAACAATAAAACAAGGCATTTGATGTCAAAATGATTGCAGATATGTAGTTCTAGCTTTAAAATTAGGATAAATTTTGACTTAAAGGGACAGTCCACCTTAAAATTTAAATTCTGCCATTATTTGGCAGATTAAAAATCTAGTCCGGCATGTATCTTGAATGCAAGAATTTAGAAATTCGACATGGAGAGTGATTTTCATACACATTGATTATCATAACAAAAACAAATTATGTGAAGTGTGAGCCAAAAATGCTTTATATATCATGTCTGTACCAGATATTCTTGAGTTTGATTCCATCCTGATCTTGATTTTTGCTCCTCAGGTTATTCGGCGGACAGTGACAGCGGAGGGCGAAGTGATTCCCGTCTGTCAGTTAGACATCCAGGTGGAAAACCCTCTCAGGAGCAACGGCATATTCCTCGTCTCTCCACTCATTATCAGTCACACCATTGACAGAGGGAGTCCACTGTACGAGCTCTCAGCGCAGTCAATGGCTACCGAAGATCTGGAGATCATTGTCATTTTGGAAGGTGAATAGAGTCTACTTTCCAGTACAGGGTTGTGGCTAGAAGAGCATCCGCTGCATAAATCATATGGTGGAATAGTTGGCGTGGTGACCCTTGATAAATAAGAGACTAAGCCGAAGGAGAATGAATGTTTGATTGAATAGAGTCTACTTAATGTAATTGTTTTGTTTAAAAGCCAAAGTATTTTTAAGGGATTACTACAGATAAGCTCTCTAATATGTGACCCTAGAGTACAAAACCAATCATAAGTGTCAATTTTGGGAAATTGAGATTTATACATGATCTGAAAGCTGAATAAATAGATTTTTCATTGATGCTGAGATGCAACTATTTCAAAATCTGGAATCCGAGGGTTTAAAAATATGTAAATATTGGGAAAGCTGCCTTTAAAGTTGTCTATTTTAAGTTATTAACAATGCAGGCCTGTAGCCAGGGGAGGGTTTCAGGTGGTTCGAAAGACCCACCCCTCATTGACAAAGGCCCATAACTACTATGTCATAATAAGTTGTGAAAATAATCCATGGAAAAAGGCTTTAACACCATGTGGAATCCTGTGTTGGCTGTTGCGTCAGCATGACTGAGGAAAGTTGAATGTGCGGGACCGTTTGCTTTTTATAATAATGATATTTAAATGACAATAGGCTAAAGTTTTTAATTTAAAACTTTAACAAATTCCTATTTTTTCTAATGATGTAATTGATGTATATGATGTAAATGATAATTGATGTAAACCTTAACATCAAAAATGTGGTTATGATGACCATCCAACAAGCTAATACAGCAAAAAATAGTGCTTAAAATGTCACAAAACTGCAACTTATTTAAACCTCATAATTACATAGAAAATGAGGCGAATAAATGCAAAATGGTAAACTTTTTAAGAAAAAAGAACCACCCCCTACACCAGGCTGGCTACAGGCCCTTAATGCATATTACTAATTGAAAATTAAGTTCTGACATTTTAGACTCTTATTCAGAGTATTGTCTTAATCTTATTAATGTCGGACTATTGGTGTCCCTGTTAACATACTCAATTTCTAATGCCATATCTGTCATAATTTTATGCTTTCTAGAATATTTTGCTATTAAATTTTCAGCGGGCTAATGCCACTTATTTTGGAATTACCTGCAAGACATTTTTATTATTAATAATAATGATTACACAATGCTTTAAAACATGTTTACCTAATTTCTCAGTGTTTGCTGAAGAATGTAAAAAATTACCTTAAGTAGGACTGCACGATATTAGAAAAATCTAATAACGCAATATTTTATTTTTCTGCGATAAATATTGTGATATAAATACAGTTTCACAAGACGGTTTTCTATGGAGCCTAACCGTATTCAGGTACAGGAATTTAATAATTTAGCATAAAATATAATGAATTATAAAATAGCAAGGAAAGGCTATTAATGCTTTTGTTTCTGTCTCGTTTCTAGTTCAAATATCTAAAAATTCTTTGATCAAGTAAAAATATTGTTTTTTTTTCAACTTAACTCAACTTTAACTCAAACGTTTGTCAGGATTTTTTTTCTTAAAACAAGTAAAATAATCTTGTTTTCACTTTGAAATTTAGACATTTTAAATAGAAACAAGACAAAAAATGTAAGAATTTTTTTATTTTATGCATAAAGTGTATATATTCGGTCTAAATACGGTAATTAAATACAATTCTGTGGCTCCTGTTCAACTATAATCTAGACTCAACATTACATATCTTGCGATGTGACTATTGTGGATGCACACATTCCGATATCGGTGCTGAAACTATATATTGTGCAGCAAATTATACAAAGCACTAATATAAAATGACATTAAATTTAAAGAAAATGAAACTATTTTAAAACTAAAAGGAAAAGAAACCACACTGAAGTAAAATCAAATTCAAGTCACATCCAAGGGTCCATTTAGGTTAGCATGCTGTCTTATAAGTTTGCTTACCAAGTTTTAACTCTCTAAATCTGTTTGACTAGGTGTTGTGGAGACGACTGGCATCACAATGCAGGCCCGCACATCCTACATACCAGAAGAGATCTTGTGGGGTCGGCGTTTCGTCTCTATTATGACAGAGGAGGATGGACGCTACTCTGTCGACTACTCCAAATTTGGAAACACTGTCCCTGTACGGATGCCAGCGCTCAGTGCTAAGGAGCTGGACCAAACCAGGGGCGTGCAGGACAGCGGACCCCATGAGGGTAAACCTCAGGGCTGGGGGCTGGTGAGGGCGGGACGAGGTGGGTACAGGAGGGGTGGAGCAAGGGCATGTGATGACACGGCAGCAAAGCCGTGGTACGTGCCAGCGGAGAAAGAGGAGGAGAAGAAGGGTCAAAAGAAAACCGTGAAGCTTGAGGAGATAGGAAGAGAGATTGAAGAAGAGACAACTGAGGATATGAGCGATTAGAGCACAATTTTTTTGGTGTTGTTGTATTTATAGATAGTGAAGTAGAAATGACCTAAAAGTTCACCAAGGAATTCTAATATGCTATTATCTTACTCAATCTCAAGCCATCCAAGATGGAGGATTTTATTCTAATATAGAAACATTATACATGGAAATAAATGCAAATGACATAAAAGTTAATATTTGGATTTTTACATATATACAAATATGTCATATATGCAACACATGTATTGTGAAATATTGCAAAAAAATGGCCTCTTACGGAGTTGGCACTTTCAGATGCAATAAAAAAAATACTTGTGGCTCCTAAAGATACACTGATTGTAGACATAATGTGTGTAGGAAAGCTAGTTCATGAATGAATATGCCTCATAATGGTGTGAGCAAACTGAGCTGACAGTGTTTACAGCTTTTATATAGGATGCATCATCCAGGACATGCACAAGTACAATTGTGATAAGCAATGCAACACACACGTCCTCTCTCTCTCTCGCTGTTGTAAACAATTAGTGTAGGCTCACGTGAACTTATGCAGTGCATATGGAACAATATCTGACGTATGTTATAAAAATTCTTAGACCACTTGCTGAGGTTGTAGACTAAAGGTACACAGAGATGTACAAATAAGTGTCTCATCAGAAGTAACTGGTATTAGTTTTGTTTTTCCTGTGCATTTACAACTCTTAAAGTGACTTGAGACCACCATGGTTTCATCTAACCAAATTCTTTAATGTTATACTGAGAGACACCTGCATATCATGGATGGCCAGAGGGTGAGTAAATAACAGCAGCATTTTCTTTTTTCAATAACTCCTTTAATATAGTCCTATTAAATGTATTACAAATTGGTCACAAATAGATCTTTTTACTATAGGCTACATGTTTTGCAAACTGCCAAAACATGAACAACTGTGTCGTTCTTGTAGATGATTTGTCAGTAAAATAATACATTTTAAGATCTTTGTAACAGAAAAATGTGGCAGTTTGGATGTATTCTTCAAGAATAGTGGACTCGAGTTGGGGTTGACGCCATACTAATAGTTTAGACGCCAGCTTGCCTAATAGTTTATGAAGTAAAATGAAAGGTGGGTAACGTTAGGCTATATAAATACAGCAAATACAGTACATTTACAACGTCCATGTTGTGTTATACATTCCAAAGATCTTACTTACCTCATAGTTGCAGTTAAAATAGCGGGATTATCTAAAAATGTTATATATACAGACTTTTTTTTCAGTTTAATTAAAGGCGCGAATCGCGAGTGCAACAGTTAAAAGCGTCCGTCTATCGCGCCTACACAAACGAAAAGCTCAAATTATTTACTTAGAATGTTAATCTATTCTCCACAGCTTTTATTTTATTTACACCTCAAATTACATACAACATGTATTGCAGCATGTATCATTCAAGATGTGGACTTTAAGTTAGGGCTGACGCCTAGCTAATAGTTTGATGAAGTAAAATGAAAGGTGGGTATACAAATATAGCAAATACAGTAAATTTACAATTTCCAGGTTGTGGTATACATTCAAAAGATGTTTCTTACCTGCCTAGAATAACGGCAATATCTAAAAATACTAGATATACGAAGGTTTTTTTAGTTTAACAAAAGGCGCGAATCGCGGTTGCAACAGTCAAATGCGTCCGTCTATCGCGCCTACATAAACAATGTAAACGAAAAGCCACCAAGAACGTTATTCTATTCTCCACAGCTTTTATTTTATTTACCTCAAATTACATACAGCATATAAACCAGACTAAGATGTGTGTTGTTGCTGTCTCTGTTGAAGAAAAGGCAGCTTTATTTGTTGAGTTTTGATACCATAGAAATCCTTTTAAAATATTACACTTCGGTTTGTCTTTTCATCTTGTTTCCTGAGATGTGATCGTGTTTACGTGACATTTTTTTAAATGTGGCTATTTTTTTTATTTAGTGGTTGTAAGTGACATGTTGTGTTTACATTTGTGTGGGATTGTGCAATTGTGTATTGTGAACTAGATGACCTGATTTTTGTGTCCACTTAATTTATGAAAATGGCCATTAGAGAAAACATTCCGTGTGTATTTATTGTTTACATATCAGTGCATTAATTGATATGACATGCATTTAATAAAATATATGACATTTTATATCTGACTGAAGGAATTCTAAGAGTTTTCTTTGTTTTTTGAAGGGAGGGAAATGGCATGTTACGTCACAGGATTAGGGGTCAACAGCTGGCCAGAGTTTACTTTTACAGACTTCGCAGACGAAAAGCTGGTGCATCTGCGTTCACATGGTGGAGATTTTAAAATGGGCTGTTTTAAATCCATTCAACAGTCTAGCACTGACTATTTTCCTCCAGTGTTTACCCAAAAATCTGAAAATTCTGTCATCAGTTACTCATCTTTCAATTCAAACTTGTTTTTAGTTTCTTTTTTCTGTTGAACACAAAATAATAATATAAATATTATTAATAATCAAATAATTAAACAATAAAATAAAGTATAGAAAAAAAAAGAAGTATAAGAAAAAAAAGTTGGAAACCTGTAACCATTGACTTCCATAGTATTTGTTTTCACTATGCAAGTAAATATTACACGTTTCTACAATTTTTTCAAAATATCTTTTGTGTTCAAGAGAGAAATATACCCATAAAGGTTTGAAACCACTTGAGGGAGTGTAAACAGTGAGTATATTTGCATTTTTGGGTGAACTATCCCTTTAATTATTTAAATGGACTGGTTGTAATGGAGCTGTCCGCGATTCTGAATGGACGAACTGTCGTTGAAGATAATGGGCTAAATTAAAACTCCAAATGTTTTAAAAAATGTGGTATTTGCCAGAATATTTACTATCGTGTTACTCAGTTGTTGCTAACAATTTTTGTTAATTAATTGTGACATTGCCTAAATTGTGATTTGCTTCATTTTAGCTTGATGTAAATTGAAAGAAATTCATAAACTTAAGATTTATTTTTTAATTGGTTATATTTACTGATGTAAAGGTTCCACATACAAAGTTCATATAATAAAAGTTTGCTACATTCATTTAAAATATCAGTCAAATTAAAATAAAAGTCAGAAAACAATGGTATTAGAATTACAAAAACAAAACAGCGCAATTAGATATAAAAGCTGTTAGTTCATACAAACACAACATAATCATTTACAGTAAATATAAAGGGTAATAAACTGCATCCATTTAGCAAATCATGCAGTGAAAGAGGCCTGTGAACACGGCCAGCAGAGAGAGAAAGAGTGAGCCTGCAGTTGTCAGTGGGCCGCCGTTACACAGGTCTGTGTTACAGCATCTGTACGTATACTCTGATATGGATGGAAACTGTTGAGACAGGCGAGAGTTATCGCAGTCAGTGTATCGAATGCACCGGCGAATGGTCTTCCCACCTGGAGAATCACAAACAATACTACTGTAACTACATAGAATGATACATCATTTCAAATGGTCAGACAATCCAGATTTATGTCTAATATAATTAAAGGCAATGCGTATAACAGTATTTCATAAACTTAATTTACACTTTGCTGCTTGTTTAAACTACTTATTTAAAATGAGTTGAAACAACACAATTCTTAAGGTTTTTTTGGGGTCAACTTAATGGTTTTTACAAATTTAAGTGGACTGAACATAAACAATTAAGTTAACTTAATTAAGTTGTGTTAGGACAACATGAAGGAATTGCCAAGTCAAGACAAACTTTATAGAGCGCTAAAAACCTAGAAGTGAGCCAAAGGGCTGTACAGAAATATACAAAATAATACGAATAATACTATATTAAAAAATAAAAATTTCATTTTCATGTCGGCTTAGTCCCTTTATTAATCCGGGGTCGCCACAGCGGAATGAACCTCCAACTTATCCAGCAAGTTTTTACGCAGCGGATGCCCTTCCAGCCGCAACCCATCTCTGTGAAACATCCACACACACACTCATACACTACGGACATTTTAGCCTACCCAATTCACCTGTACCGCATGTCTTTGGACTGTGGGGCAAACCGGAGCAAACCCACACAAAGGCAGGGAGAACATGCAAACTCCACACAGAAACGCCAACTGAGCCGAGGTTCGAACAAGCGACCCAGCGACCTTCTTGCTGTGAGTCGACAGCACTAACTACTGCGCCACTGCCTCGCCCACAAAAATAAAAATATAAGGTAAAAGATAGCTAAACATATTTTAAATACAGCTAAAATGAGACTGATTAAGGGTAGGCAAACAAGTATTGAGCAGTGTTGATCAGCACAAGTATTTGAGTACTGTTTTAGATAATAAATTGTCCTTTTCAGTAAATACTAATATTTTATAGGAATGGGCAGCAAAGATTGTACTGCTTGTAGAAATTAAGATAATTTAATATAGATAAATCATTCATGTCCATGTTTTACTGTTCATATACTGTGTTCAGTCACTGTTATCTTTTTCCTTGCTTTGTTGGTTCAATTCTTTAAGTGTGAAAAATAAGAGTTGTTTGGAGAGAATTGTGGACCTAGCAGAAAAACAACAGGGAGAAAAGAGATGATTATGGCTCAGTTATACCATAGACAAGTTTTGAGTAAAGCTCAGAGTATTCTGTCAGATGATTCCCATCCTATGCACAACAAGATTTATATTCTTCTGTCTGGTATTTGATACAGAACTCCTATTAGTAAAAATAAATAAATAAATAAAAAATAAATTGAAAAATTGGTTCAAACTTTCATTCATCCCCTAAGCTGTAAAGTTTTTACATTTAGGGTAGATTTGTATTGTGCAATGTGCTTTTGTGTATTATGTGTGACATGTTTATATGCTGCAACCAACTTGCCTTCAGGAAATGAATAAAGACTGACAGACTAAACTATCTAAAAAGGCATTTTAATTAAAGTAATTCGTAAAATCAGGTGTCAAAGGCCTACTTAAATAAAATTCGAGAACTGTGTGAAACACACATTTACCGGTAGGAATGACCTCTCGCCCTACTCATAATTCTCTCTCTTCTTATAGCCATATATGCCTATTACATATCTATAGTACACTGTGATATAGCCGAGCTCGAATCGTTTTGCTTTCTCACTACAATCAACCCGCTCCAGAGTAAGTCTCAATCAAACTGAGACCCCCTCATTCAGGCGATTGATTTGGCGAGGATACGAGCACGATTGCTGGTTTCACATTAGCCAAATGAACCACGCTAACTGGGCAAACGAAACAGGTTCCGAAACAAAAGTTTAGGTGTGAAAGCACCCTTAGATCGCAGTGAATGGGAGAGTACAACAAATAATTTTTAAAAATCCCATTTGCTGAAATAATAAAAGAAAAACTCCACGATGGTGTTATCAATACTTTCAGAAAAAGGAAAAAATTGTATGAGACTGATAACGGCAACCAGAAAAAAGAATAACGTCAAATTTGCATTAGAAACACCTCGCATAAGCAGTAATATCTTGATTTAATAGATTTATAAATGCATAGAAAGATTCATATACTAATGATCTTGTGAAAAGGGTCCATTGTGTGTTATTTTTTACAGCGCAGAATGTTCTGTTATGAGAGCATTTATTATATTTAATTCCTTTTAAGCATCTCAAATATTTTTTCTTCACCACAAAATTTCTTTTTTTTTTTAAAAAAACAAAAAAACAAACACAATTCTTTCTAAAATAATACAAATTTTAACTTGATCAATTAACATTCAGTAACATTATTCACCACAGCCATATCAACCTGCAGCTCAAGATCAGTTACTCAGCCTGGTTAGTACTTGGATGGGAGAGACCAAAGGGAAAACTAGGTTGCTGTTGGAAGTGGTGTTAGTGAGGCCAGCAGGGGGCGCTCAACCTGTGGTCTGTGTGAGTCCTAACGCCCCAGTATAGTAAAGGGAACACTATACTGTCAGTGAGCGCCATCTTTCGGATGAGATGTTAAACTGAGGTAATTAAAAATCCCATGGCACTTCTCATAAAGAGTAGGGGTGTAACCTTGGCTAATACTGGCTAAATCCCCTTCATCGGCCCTTATCCATCCTCCCAATCATCCCCATCCATAAAATTGGCTCTATCACAGTCTCTCCACCTATAGCTGGTGTGTGGTGAGCGCTCTGGCGATGGTGTCCTGTGACTGGCGTTGCATCCTCCAAGTGGATGCTGCACACTGGTGGTGTAGTGGGGAGACCCCCCTCATGATTGTAAAGCGCTTTGGGTGTACTATATAAATACACATTACTTACTTACTTATTAATAATTAGTATAGTTTTCATCACATATTTAAAAAGCAACTAATTACTGATTAATTTCTAATTATTACGTTAAGTTATTGCAAAGCGTTTTAGAAAAGTGAAGTTAGTTTTTAAAAAGTGTCAATGTTTACTTGTTTGTATGTGATAAATATGTTGTGTATTACGCAAAGATAGTTTAAGTGATAAAAGTCTCTAAGTATTTATTAAAGAAAAAATATATATTAAAAATATATTAACACTGGGGGGAAGCAAGCACTCCACTTCTAGAATCACCAACAATGCCAAACCTTTCTCATGCAGGTGTAAACAGGCGTCCTCATAAGAGCAGGGCTGCTGAACGGAGCATCGTCCTCCAGCGTAATCCTCACACTTATAGCATCGCAGAGACGAGCCTGCAGAGGAGAATCGCATTCCATAATGCTTATTGCCTGTTTCGAATACAAAACACTGAGGTCATGACCAAAGCCACACAGAACCAGCCAAACAAACAACTGCCATGCGTGTGTGCTGGAAACTCACCTAAACTGAGAGTCATACAACAGACCAATAGAAACAGTCCAAGAGAGAGCTTCATTATGAGGAAACCTGCCTGAGAGACTGATCATAAATAACGTGAAACTACAATTAAGCAAAATGAAAAGGCACAAAAAACAGTTGTGATCGATTCTTAATAATTAAAAATACATATTTTCTAGACATAGAGAAAATAACATCAATGACGAAATATTTAAAGAAGAGAGTGTAACAGATATATTATTAATATCTTGATTAGAGATGCCCAAACTGGGACCCGTGCGCCAAAGTTGGCCCATGGTAACCTTTGAACTGGCCTACCATTCCATCTGAGAATGGTTTAGAGATTGTCATTTCAAATTTAATGTGAGCTTTTAATTGTTTGTTTTAGTGTTAAGCTACCAAAACATTATCAGAAACTAAATGTCTGAAATTAAAGTGTAAATGAATCAGGTTTAGTTGAAAACGTTCATACGATGGATAGAGGAGACTTTCGTGAGCAAATTAAGGCAAAGAAAGCTTCTGCTCCACTAGTATAGTCAGAATTGAACTCCACTGTGTTATAAAAGTGATTGTTTATGTTTGTATTGCAATTAGTTATCATTTAAAAAGTTATATTGTGTTTGTTAATACAATTCAACGTGATGTTTTCTATTTATTTTCTTAATATTATGAAATGAAATAGGAAATTAACAATGGCAACCTTAATATAAAACAGTAAATGGTTTATGTATCTTCGGCCCACGGCTATCAATGATATTTGGTTTTTGGCCCTTCATAAGAAAAAATTTGGGAACCCCTGATCTTGATAGTCAGATAAGAAAAAAAATAAAAAATAAAAATATATGCAATAAAATAAATAAATAAAATAATAATGGCGAGGTTTGTGGCAGAGGGGGGTAAACTGGCAAAAAAAGTAGTTTTAAGTACAATAGCAAAGAATAAAGGTTTAAAATAAATACATTAATTAATTAATGTAAAAAAATAAAATAAATAAAAAAAAATAAAAATGAAGGGTATATACTGACAAAATACTCTTTATTTTAATATATAAGTGGTCATATAAAATATTTAAATGATTAAAAACAGAAAACAAATGGGTAACGCCTGGTATTTTTAAGTATAGTGGCAAAGAATAAAGGTTTAAAATAAATAAATAGATAATTATTCAATGAAAATATTGGGGATATACTGAAAAAATAATATTTTTTTTAATATTATATTATATTATATTATATTATATTATATTATATTATATTATATTATATTATATTATATTATATTATATTATATTATATTATATTATATTGTTCATTAATTTTCCTTTGGCTTAGTCCCTTTATTCATCAGGGGTCGCCACAGTGGAATGAACCACCAACTATTCCAACATATGTTTTACATAGCGGATGCCCTTCCAGCTGCAGCCCATTACTGGGAAACATGCATACACTCTCATTCCCACTCATACACGACGGCCAATTTAGTTTATTCAATTCCCCTATAGCTCGTCTTTGGACCGTGGGGGAAACCAGAAGACCCGATATTATATCATGTTATAGTAAGTGATCGTATAAAATATTTAAATTGTTAAAAACACCCATTATTTTTAAGTATAGTGGTGTAGAATAAAGGTTTAAAAGACTTAAAACTGAGGATTGAAAATAGGAATTAAAAGGTGTGTTCAAATGTAACTGGGAAAAATGTCAATTTTAAGTTGTATTAAACTTTTACTTGAATTCCTCTTCATGTTTGACACCATAACATATTGAATTGTAAATACAAATGTAATTTAACGACATTTTATTTTATGATGTTGCTAAATATATATTCATACATATTTAAAGACATTTTAGAGAACATTATTAATGTTTAAACTTCAGAGGAGTACAGAAATCAATATTTCACCCTCATTTCCAATCGCAACAAATAAAACAATCATTATTGTCAGACAAAAAAAAGCTGTAGATGACATATAAAAACATTAGGAGTTTTTTTATGGGGCATCTATTTTTTTAAATTCATTTTAAAGTATCTCAGTTTTTTTTATTTACTATTAAATGCAAGTTTTTTAATACAGTTTTTTTTCTAAAATTGTTTTTATTTTATACATAAACCTACAAATTAAGAGCCTAAAATAAACATAACCTTTAAAACAACCTCTAATTTATCAATAAATATTTAGTAATACTAATAATTGGTAAATATTATTAATATTATTAATTATTTTTAATTAGTACAGTTTTAATCATGCTTTTAAAAAGCAACTAATTCCTAATTTTAAAACAAATATTTAAATGACATCATTTATGAAATTTGCAAGAACCATTATTTGTACCTTTATAAAAATCAAACAAAATCTAACATTTTACTGAAACCCGTGCACTTAAAACTAAACAAGTACATCCAACAAAAGTTTATTTTTCTATATCTCTATTAGTATAAATATTAAACAACATGCATACTTTCATAGACTTTTAAAAATGTATTAAAAATGTATTTTTTATATCACATTTTACCTGTTTTTATGTTTTGTTTTGTTTTTACGCATTTTTATTATTTGTTTTTATTTTTATTTTACTTGTTACTTTTATTCTTGTTTATGTAAAGCACTTTGAATTGCCATTGTGTATGAAATGTGCTATATAAATAAACTTGCCTTGCCTTGCCTTAAAAAGAGTGTTGTTCAAATATCAAAAACAAAAGGCTCTTACAAAAACATGTAAACTTGCATAGACTTTTTATTTTAAAAAGCTTTATTTTGCTAAAATAATTTCCTATACACACTGAATAAAACAATATACCAAGTTTGAGAAGTGAATTTTCTTACAGAAGAGTGTTGTTAAGATATCAATACACAAAGGCCCATTGTGAGATTCAGAAAAAAATCAGTAACATCAGAATAATATTAAATATGTCTTACCCTGCACGAAAATATTCCGGTATCACAAACGTCCAATCTTGTGTGTTACAAAAAAGCCCAAAAGCATTCCTCGTGCCACCTCTTCTCTGCTCGCTCGGCCAGCCTCACCCTCACCCTACATGAATGATGTCATTGATGGAGCTTCTCTTGAGTGCCAGCGCACATTAAACTGACCCTATAAATAATGACACATTAGAATTACCACAACAGAAAAATTCCTGTACTTCACTATAGTATGGTTTAGTAACACTATAGTATTTACTATAATTACTATAGTATTTTTTGACAGCTTAGCATCTTACTAAATGTTAACTTGCACAGTCAAAACATTGCAGTCGGCACCTTGATATCAAAACATCATCAAATGGAGAAAAATGTAGATTAATTTAACGTCTTGAGGTTAAATTGACATCTAAAATTGGGAAAATGTATCTTTTGATGCCAATTTTAGATGTCAATTAGACGTCGTTTTGCCATCAAGCGGGTTTACATGCATTGTAAGGATACAAAATCAAGTGTAAATTTGTGATTTGTATCTGAAGCTTTCTAATAAATACAGGGTCTCTTATATTATGATATGTTTTGTGTTGTTATTTTGCTGGTCAAAAAGCATCCATGTTTGGATGTCAAATAGACGTCATGGTTTTGACATCAAATCCATTTGGATTTTTGATTTTCAGATAAATGCAGGGTTTCTTATATTATAAAGTTGTGCCATTATTTTGCAGGCCAAAAAAGCATAAAAATTTGGATGTCAAATAGACGTCAAGGTTTTGATAAATCTATTACCATTTTTGACTTTCAGATGAATGCAAGGTCTCTTATATTATGATATGTTTTGTGTCATTATTTTGCTAATCAAAAAAGCATCAAAATTTTGACGTCAATCAGACGTCAAGGTTTTGACATCAAATCCATCAGTATTTTTGACTTTTAGATAAATAAAAGGTTTCTTATATTATGCTTAGTGTCGTTATTTTGGTGGTCAAAAAGCATCAATATTTGGATGTCAAATAGACGTCAAGGTTTTGATAAATCCATTACCATTTTTGACTTTAAGATGAATGCAAGGTTTCTTATTTTATAATTTGTTTTGTGCCTTTATCTTTGTGTTCAAAAAAAGCATCAATATTTGAGTGTTTAATAGACGTCAAGGTTTTGACAACAAATCCATCAGTATTCTTGACTTCCAGATGAATAAGTTTCTTATATTATAATGTTGTGTAATTATTTTGCTGGTCAAAAAAGCATCAATATTTGGATGTTAAATAGACGTCAAGGTTTTGACCTCAAATCCATTAGCATTTTGACTTTCAGACAAATGCAGGGTTTCTTATATTATAATACATTTGTGTCGTTATTTTGCTGATCAAAAAAGGATAAAAATTTGGATGTCAAATAGACGTCAAGGTTTTGATAAATCCATTACCATTTTTGACTTTCAGATAAATGCAGGATTTATATTATAATAAGCTTTGTGAGGTTATTTTGCTGGTCAAAAAAAGCATCAATATTTGGATGTCAAATAGACGTCAAGGTTTTGATGAATCCATGACCATTTTTGACTTTAAGATAAATGCAGGCTTTCTTATATTATAATATGCTTAGTGTCATTATTTCGCTGATGAAAAAGCATCCATATTTGGATGTCAAATAGACGTCAAGGTTTTGATAAATCTATTACCATTTTTGACTTTCAGATGAATGCAAGGTCTCTTATATTATGATATGTTTTGTGTCATTATTTTGCTAATCAAAAAAGCATCAAAATTTTGACGTCAATCAGACGTCAAGGTTTTGACATCAAATCCATCAGTATTTTTGACTTTTAGATAAATAAAAGGTTTCTTATATTATGCTTAGTGTCGTTATTTTGGTGGTCAAAAAGCATCAATATTTGGATGTCAAATAGACGTCAAGGTTTTGATAAATCCATTACCATTTTTGACTTTAAGATGAATGCAAGGTTTCTTATTTTATAATTTGTTTTGTGCCTTTATCTTTGTGTTCAAAAAAAGCATCAATATTTGAGTGTTTAATAGACGTCAAGGTTTTGACAACAAATCCATCAGTATTCTTGACTTCCAGATGAATAAGTTTCTTATATTATAATGTTGTGTAATTATTTTGCTGGTCAAAAAAGCATCAATATTTGGATGTTAAATAGACGTCAAGGTTTTGACCTCAAATCCATTAGCATTTTGACTTTCAGACAAATGCAGGGTTTCTTATATTATAATACATTTGTGTCGTTATTTTGCTGATCAAAAAAGGATAAAAATTTGGATGTCAAATAGACGTCAAGGTTTTGACAAATCCATTACCATTTTTGACTTTCAGATAAATGCAGGGTTTCTTATATTATAATATGCTTAGTGTCGTTATTTTGCTGGTGAAAAAGCATCCATATTTGATGTCAAATAGACGTCAAGGTTTTGATAAATCCATTACCATTTTTGACTTTCAGATAAATGCAGGATTTATATTATAATAAGCCTTGTGAGGTTATTTTGCTGGTCAAAAAAAGCATCAATATTTGGATGTCAAATAGACGTCAAGGTTTTGATGAATCCATGACCATTTTTGACTTTAAGATAAATGCAGGCTTTCTTATATTATAATATGCTTAGTGTCATTATTTCGCTGATGAAAAAGCATCCATATTTGGATGTCAAATAGATGTCAAGGTTTTGACATCAAATCCATTACTGTTTTTGACTTTCAGATTAATACAAGGGTGCTTATACTATAATACATTTTGTGTTGTTATTTTGTCGATCAGAAAAGCATCAAAATTTGGATGTCAAATAGACACTAAGGTTATTACATCTAATCCATTAACATTTTTGACTTTCAGATGAATACAAGGTTTCATATATTATAATATGTTTGTCTTTATATTGCTGGTCAAAAAAGCATCAATATTTGGATGTCAATCAGACATAAAGCTATTTTTGATGCTGTTTTTGACATCACAGTGGTTAAAGTGACTTTAAAAAAAAGAAAAATAAACAAACCTTGAGCTTGAAATAATTGTATCACCATCACCGCTAACCCCCCGAATTGAAACCAAATACTTTCTGCTAGGTTTCCCATGCAGCGCTGCAGCTGGTGGCGACAATAAGGCCTGTGTGGCATCTCCCAGAGCCGTTCTGCAGTCATGGAAGCACTCAATTCAAATGTCATCTCAATGCCGCCCTTATTTTAGCCTCTGTCTGAAAAGACACAAAATACAACCGTGAATCTGTATGCCAGGACAGTAGAACAATCCGGGTTAAGTAAATGGATTTGTGGCATTTAAAACAGTGAAGTGGCGCTGTTTGTTTGGCTGCCTACACTATGCTGTTGCTTTTCTCTCATGATAATAAAGGAAACAAAATCATCCATCACATGTCAGAATGCTAATATCCAGGGGAAGGCGTGATGATTGGCTTTTTCCACAATGCTGGAATGGGACTGTGTGTAAGGGAGCAAATCTAGGCACGGGTGAACAATGAAGCTGTGGTCAGACGAGCAACAAAGAGCACTTGATCTTTGTTTGGGCTGCGGTAACAGTGCAGCTTTTTAAATAATGTGTGTGTGTGTCTAATTCAGCGTACAAAAAAAGATTTAGGCCACACTTTTAAAACAAATATTAATAGAGTGTTTTACAAGACAATACTTTCTTTTATGTTTAATTGTTCATAATACTTCATATGAAAAGTACTATAGTAGATTAGAGTAAATACAATTCGTTTTTGAACATGTAGTAAAGTGTAAAAGTTAATAATTGCTAAAGCATAATGTTAACTGTGGTGAACTGATAAACTACTGTAGTATACTGTACTATGGTAAAATGTGGTGTCTTGTAGTAAATCAGACCATATAGTTGTTGTAGAAAGCTACAGTACTGGATTGCTTATATTACAATAGATATACACTCACCGGCCAATTTATTAGGCACACCTGTCCAACTGCTTGTTAACGCAAGTTTCTAATCAGCCAAACACTTGACAGCAACTCAATGCATTTAGGCATGTAGACATGCTCAAGACGATCTGCTGCAGTTCAAACCGAGCGTCAGAAAGGGGAATTAAGTGACTGAATGTGACCTGGTTGATGGTGTAAGATGGGCTGGTCTGAGTATTTCAGAAACTGCTGATCTACTGGGATTTTCAAGCACAAACATCTCTAGGGTTAACAGAGAATGGTCCAAAGACGAGAAAACATCCAGTGAGCAGCAGTTCTGTGGGCGCAAATGCCTTGTTGATGATAGAGGTCAGAGGAGAATGGCCAGACTGGTTCCAGCTGATAGAAAGGCAACAGTACCTCAAATAACTACTTTTTACAACCAAGGTATGCAGAAGAGCATCTATGAACACACAACACGTCTAACCTTGAGGCAGATGGGCTACAGCACCAGATGCTGAACTTATCTTGATTCTGAGTTACAGAACAATGCACATTTTAATAATTGATCATGGTTTATACTACACTGCAAAAAATGCTTTTCTTACTTAGATTTTTTTGTCTTGTTTCTAGTCCAAATATCTAAAAATTCCTAAATCAAAAAGAGTTTTCTAGACAAGCAAAACATATTGTCTTGTTTTGAGAAATAATATGCCAATATTAAGTAAGTTTTTCCCTAAAACAAGCAAAATAATCTGCCAATGGGGTAAGCAAAATAATCTTACATCAAAAGAAAAAACAAGATTAATTGACCAGGTGCCCATACCATGGCTAGCCAGTTAAGTGTCAGATTAGTTTACACCAATTCTGGGTTTTCAGTACCATGATGGCAGCTCAGATGCTCCATAATACCATGGCAAAAGACAGTAAATAACGTGAAGCTGCCTTTACGTTACCTGAAAAACCAAAGATTGGAACCGAATGGAACACTAAATTGAAACTTAGCTAGCTGGCCAGCTAATTCAGGGCCTCACTGGTAGAAAAGATCCTGGTTAAATAAGTAAATAAAAAAGAAATAGAAAAAAAGTTGTGAGATGACAGTTGTGCAGATCACTTTTGTGCCTAATACCCCTTGCCTACAATAGTTTTCAAAACCACTGTCTAGACTAAGCTTTCGAAATGATGTTATTGTCTCTTGAAGTCCGGGTAAGTCCTCCACCAAACCCAATAACCTTAAGCTGTAAAGGGCTCTGAATAAAAGTTAACAGTGGATGTGAACACACTGCACTGTGAATAATTGACAAAAAGAATTGCTAATAATATACAGTTAAAGGCTATACATTTTATATCAGTTTCAGAATTTTTTTTTCTTTCATTCAATCATTTTCTTCTGCTTTTCCGGGGCCGGGTCGTGGGGACAGCAGTCTCAGAAGAGAACCCGAGACTTCGTTCTCCCCAGACACTTCATCCAGGAGGATCCTGAGGCATTCCACCAGGCCACACACGTCCAGAAGACATCTGAAACAGATGCCTGAGCCACCTCAACTGACTTTTCTTGACATGTAGGAGCAGCGGCTCTACTCCGAGCTCCTCCCGAGTGACAGAGCTCCTCAACCCATCTATAAGGGTGCTCCCTGCCATCCTGTAAAGGAAACTCTCTTCAGCCACTTGTATCCGAGATATTGTCCTTTCGGTCTTGACCCAAAGCTCATGACCATAGGTGAAAGTAGGAACAAAGATCGACCGGTAAATCGAGAGCTTTGCCTTTCGGCTCAGCTCCTTCTTTACCACAACGGACCGTTATTACTGCTGCCACTGCACCAATCCACCTGTCAGTCTCATGTTCCATCCATCCCTCACTCATGAACAAAACCCCAAGATACTTGGGGTAAAGACTTTTATCCAACCTGAAGATGGCAATTTTTTTAGAGCATTGTAATGGCTAAGACTATATTATAAATGCGCTTATTTATGCTTTGAATATTGATTTAATTCTTATAGGGCTTTGTTTGGCAAACTCATCCTTTAAGGAAACCAGTGAGGGAGAAAAAAAAAATCAATGTGACAATGAAAATAACAAAACAAAACATTTTATTAAACCAATAATTGTTGAATATAGAGTCCATATGCTGAAATTTAAAGTGTGATTCTATAATACATGTACACATTCTCCAGGCTTACATTTCACATGTAGTTCAGATTTTTCGAGTTTCCAGTGTTATGTTTTCAGAAAGTAAAGAGTGTGTGTATGATTTATAATGAATATATATGAGAAAATAGAGCTAACATTTCAACATAAACTTAAAAACAGATGTTGTTCTTTAACTTTTCAACCTAGAATCTCCCAGTTCAAAACAGATCATCAGTAATTGTTGGAAAAACAATAAGGACCTTGCACATTATTGTGATTACATGACATGGAAATCAGGAAAATACAAAATCATCAATCTAGATATTTACATTTGGTACACATAGCATTGACAAAAGGGATAAAACATATATATATATATATATATAGTAAAGCCTTTATGAAACTAAATCAAGCTGAATTTGGCTCATTTTTTGAGAAATCATCATTGAAGATGAGCAAATGTTTGCTTTGACACAACTACGGCATTTAACTCCCAACACAATATGAGAAGATATGGCATACCTCACTGTGAGGTAACAGTCTAACATTTAAAAGCATTCACATACAAACAAAAAAATCAGATTTTTTGGCAGCTCACTTATTATCAACCCTTAACATAATCCTATTGCTATATATGTTATGGCAACAACTGCTTATCAAGACAAGAAAGGCTAACAAAACTTACATGGAAACAACAGTTTAACATATTAAATGATAATGATCTTTCGACTAAATTACTGCTTTTGAAATGTACATTCATTTAAACAATAAAAATGGATTCACTGAAACAATTTCCATAAAAAACAAGCTTGAGTCTTTAAACATGCTAAATGTTCGGACGTGCAATGACTCTAGAAAATGAAAAGGTTAATGTAACTTAAAGATGGCATTCAACTGCTTGATTTCAGTCAATACACTACCTGACAAAAGTCTTGTCGCCTATCTAAGTTTTAGGAACAACAAATAATAACTTGACTTCAAATTGATCATTTGGTATCAGAAGAGGCTTATATGAAAGGCAAATGCGTCTAGATTACACTTATTTTACCAAAATAAAGTATGATCATGCCTTGATTTTTAATTATTTAATTAGGGTCTGACTTTGCTCAAAGTTTTGCTAAATAATGTACAGTACAGAATATAAAGTCATGCTGCAGTGGAAAAATAATTAATATTGTGCATGACTCCCATGAGCTTGGTGGACTGCATCCATCTCAGCAATGACTCAAATCACTTAATAAGAAAATCATCTGGAATGGCAAAGAAAGCGTTCTTGCAGGACTCCCAGAGTTCATCAAGATTCTTTGGATTCATTTTCAATGACTCTTTCATCTTTCCATAGAAATGCTCAATAATGTTCATTTCTGGTGACTGGGCTAGCCAATCCTGGATCACCTTGATCTCCTTTGCTTTCAGGAACTTTGATGTGGAGGCTAAAGTATGACAAGGAGCGCTATCCTACAGAAGAATTTGACGTTTGTAATGTAATGGGCAGCACAAATGCCTCGATACCACAGGCTGTTGATGTTGTAATCCACTCTGTAGATCTCTTGCACGCCTCATACAGAAGGTAACCCCAAAACATGATTTTCCTTTACCAAACTTGATTGATTTCTGTGAGAATCTTGGGTCCATGCGGGTTCCAATAGGTTTTCTGTAGTATTTGTGATGATTTGGATGCAGTTCAACAGATTATTCATCATCTGATAAAAATCTACCTTCTGCCACTTTTCCAAATGATCAACTAGAAGTCAAGTTATTATTTATTGCTCTTACAACTGGGATCGATGACGGCGACTTTTGTCAGGTAGTGTACTGTTCAATATTACTGCATGTATTTGTTTGAGACTCGTAAATGAACAGTGTTTACTGTATTTCTAAAAGATGATGTTTTAACCAGTTTTATTACTAAAATTGTTATATTTCAACTTTAAAAATGTGACTGTTACAAAGTCATGTTTTTAATAACAGATCACAACAATTTTTACCTTATAAAGTAATTTTTAAAAAGTAATGAATAAAAAAAAATGGAAATTTGTACAGCAAGGTGAAGAAACAATAGTGAGTGAATCTTGTAAAACATGCTCAATCACCTTTAAATTCCAGAGCTTGGATTTAAGGAACATTGTTATTAGTAAGTACTAAATTTGCTTATATTTAAGAATACACAATTTAAGTAAAATATATATTGCACAGGGAAAGAAATCTATGGAACTTAGTGGCAAGGCAAGGATAACAACTGAACATAACATCTTTGAATAAAATAAATGTTGCTGAGCATGCACTGAATACACAAATTCATACAATCAAAAATACAAAAGCTTTGTTCTTATACATCTTTGATTCCAAACAGCTATTTTTTTTGTTCAGGTGCTTAAATGTCTTCAAAGTTTCCTCCAAAAGTAAAGTGTTGTACAGTGTCGCCTACTAGTGGTGACTTCATGCACAATCTTTTGTATCAAATGAAAAGTATTGCTGATGGAGACTGATAGTAATGCTATCCGCTTGTTAAGTGATGACGTATGTAATACTGTTTCCGGGTCCAAGTCGCCATTCATTTGAGTGGAGAAATCATTCGTTTATGATCACGTTTTATTCCTATCACACATTAAAGTTAAATTTTATATAAAGTCATAGTGTACACAACAATCTCTGGGCTTGCTGCATAACAAATGCCAAAAATTTAACAATTAAAAAAGAAAATGAATCACTTTCTGACATCGGATATTAGGCATGGACATATATACTGTGATCGTGATTTTCGAAGGTATTAAATCGCTTTGTAAACGTTTATTATTACCATTTCATGAGTCTCCCCATTCAGTTGAACAGAGCGCTTGGACCCGGAAGCTGCTTCGCGTGACGTCACACTTAACAATCGGATTTGAGCTTGTTTACGGCTTTCTATTTTCAGTAAACATTTGAATATTTATTCTGATGATGCGTGAATAAGTAAACATATGATATATTTGTTGGTTTGATGCAGAATCAGTTTCATATTTCACTATAAAATTATTTGAACTGGCTCATGTTGGTTCATACTATACTTATCTTTCGATCAGCTTGGGTGTAAACATCACATTACGGGTGCCTCATTGCATTAACTATTATGGCACATTGACAAACCAAGAGTACTTAAAGATTGAAGATAGAAAAAAATGGTATATACTGCATGGCAAAATAGTGGCTTCCGTTGCAGTTAGGGATAAAAAAACGTAAAGAACATGCTATGAAAATTTAACACCTTTTGTTATTTTCCATACACAAAAGTCTACATACAAATGCTTCTGATTGCTCAAATTATATTGCAGATCAAATACTGAAAACGTTTCTTTTTTTTTTTTTTTTTTTTTAGAAAGTTTGTCTCTTAATCAGAAGGTGGCATTTTCAGAGACTAAAAAAGTTGGGTTCACTCACCAATGCCTGAAGAAATGGTGTTCAATCGAACATTCACCTAACAGCCACGATCCTCATAACTAGAAAACAGCATCTCTTTGGAACAAAAATACACATTACAACCATTTACATGAACATTTTAAAGTGTTTCATGTGCCTGCGACCTGCAAAGGCATTCATACCGACTCTTAGAGAAGATGCTGATCTAGGCCATTTAGCAGCAGGGCCAGTGTCAAACTACTTGGCCAATCACATTACAGTCCCGATCAGCCCTTTTCCAATGAGATGGCTTTTTGGAATCATATTGGCTGAGAAATTGGCTCCGATCAATCAAACATCAGGATAATACTCTGCATTCATATCCATATTGTGCAACACAGATTTTTGTTCGGTGGTGGACATTCTGCTCAGCACTTCTGTCGACAGTGAAATGCTGTTCCCAGATTTCTCTTCAAACCAGCTGTCCAATGCCCGCTTTCCATCAAAGCTCCCAATAGGCGGTCCATTGACAGCCAAGGTGAGCAAATCGTTGATCTGATCCAGAGTCAGTCTGGAACGGCTATTTCTGCGCACTTTCTGCAACGAGCCTCTTCCTTTGTCACAGCATGTCGTAGATGTTGGCAAGACTCTGACAATCTGCAGAATGTGATTGAGAAGAGGATAACGTTGCTTGTATCTGAAGATGTGGCTGACGACTTCTTTAAAACCATTCACACTACAATAATCAGCTTTCAGATCCCTCCATTCAACCACGAGACTTCCTCTGGCATCTGTTCTTTCGATTGAGCGTTCACGGCCGGATGAAGGAATAGTCTCCAGGTGGTCAAAAATGACAAGGATCTCTTCCTCTCCATATGCACCGAGATCATCCCTGTTAATAGGCCACGAGGCTAGGTCAAGGACCTGACAGGCCTGGACAACTGTGCGGCTGCGTGGTTCAAAGCGCTGAGCCAGAATGCATTGACTTTGCTGGCAGATTTTCTCTCGAATTGACTGAAACTTGGACTCGGCAACCCTCAAGTTCTTGAGGTCCACACCATTAAAACTCTCCCGAAAGTTGTCCTCAAATTCTTGTAGGTACTCCCCTGGGGAGTCCACCAGTTGACCAATCTCATGAATGGCATCTTCAATTTTTGCGTCCACTTGTGACACCAGCAGATAGTCACCCTGAAAGATGAAAGCAAGCCGTGAAAAGACAGCAATGACATCCAGGAGAAAATAAATCAGCTTCACTGACTGATAGTCCAAAAGGAACTGTAGGAGAGACAGAGCAATGGCAGCAGCATCACCCCTTTGTGTTTGGTTGCTTATGGTCTTCAGATGAGCCACCACCTCCAGATAGTCCTTAATTAGGGCATTGAGAACATTGGGTTCCCCTATGATCCAACGAACAGCTCGAATATCACCAAGAAACTCAGTTTCCTCCGACAGCGTTGGTGCTGATGACCTTAGCTCAGCCATCAAACGTGGGGAATATCTATAGAAGCTAAGCAGTTGCTTCAAGTTGTTCTCCAAATCCTCCAAGCAGGACAGTTCCTTTCCACTAATGGCATCCAGAACCTCTAAATGTGGGCGATGGATCATCACAGGTAAACACAACACCCATGGAATTGTCTTTCGGATGGCTACGTAAAGATTAGCTCTTAAACTAGAGGAAATGTTTGAACCATCTATTCCCAAACCAACGACTAGCATGTCCTGGAGTCTTAGCCCAAGGACTCCAAAGGCACGATCCACAGCCTGAAGGTAACCTTCGACATTACCTCCACAAAGCCTCTGTAAGGAGAGGAACTCAGTGGCAGGAAGCCCATCAGTGGTGGTGAACTGGACATATACAGCAACCATATCAGCCAAGAGATCATCATTCTGCCCATCCATGATGATGCTTAGAAAGGGTGAAAGGCGGATCTTCTCAGCCAGATCTTCTTTAAATGCTCGAGAAATGTGTTGGATGAGAATCTGACAGTCATTTTCGTTCATGTATTGATCCACCACTTTGAGGTCGCACTTCTTGAGGAGCTCCGCTAAGGGGCGCAGATCAGAAAACGGCCGTCCTTCAAGAGCCAGATGATAGGCAGCATTCAGAAGAGTCATCATGTTACGACACATCTCCTCTGTCTTCTCCGGGTGCATTCGAAGTTTGTAAAGCTGAAGGCACTTCTTGTGCAGATTGCTCTGGCTGTGCAGTTTAATGGTGTGGATTTTAAATTGCTTGGAGCCGATGATAAACGCAGAGGTGCGGGAGGACTGGACGGTGTATTGGCGGCACACGTGGCACCACATCTCATTCAGTGTAGGTGAATAACGGAGAAACCAGAACTTCTTCAGCCACTCCTGTTTGAATCTGCGAATCCGACGACCCGAACCCACTGAGAGTTTTGAAGACTCATCTGCAGCCACCAGGAGGTCGGCAGAAATAGATTCATCGGCAGAATCAACATCCTGGTCATCCTCTTCAAGGGCTGCTGGGATGGGCGTCATGGTGTCTGCAACAGATAAGCAAACAGAGCACAAAATTAAGCTGAGCACCAATATAAATGAAGATTAAAGTTTAGGATTTGGCAAAAAAAATAACACTCATTAACAATTTTATTAAAACTTTTAATTATTAGTGCATTTCCATTCGAAACATTTCAACAAATTCTGCAAACAATGAACCGCAAATAATAACAAAACAGTTCAAACAGTACTCAAGTAAACCAAGAGACAAATATATAGTCATACATCAAAATACATACACCAATATCAAAATGTATTGCAGAAAATCTTTCATCCATGGCAGACTTCCATCCCTGGTTCAAACCTACCTCTGTGGTCCTCACCAGCAAGCATCTCAGAAGCTGGTACAGGCTTAACCTCCGCATGCCCCTGTCCTCTGAGACGGTGCAGTTCGGCCTCCAGCTCACGGATTCGACGTTTTAGCCTCACACAGTTTGGGCAGAAAGATGTGGATGGTCCTTCACTGGTCAAGGCCTCATCCTCTTCCGTGTTTTCCATTTTAATGCATTTCCCATCAAAGCCAATCTCGTGGTGATCCATTGAAACCAACCCAGAGGTGAAGACGGACTCTTTACTCTCTGCGTCAGGATGGCAGAAAACCTGGCAGACATTTGTTCGTGCTCTTGGAAAAGACAAGGTGCTGTTCAGGGGGTTGTTCTGACTTTGATTAGCCTCTAGAGATGCTTCCAGGACATCTTTGAAAATGAGGTCAATCTTCTTTTTCTTGGCCTGGGGCTGGTTTTCTGCCTCATCGCTTCCATGCTTGCTTAGGGTCCTTCTACCGTGCATTGCGGATCTTAACACTGGGCCTTTAGGCTCCTCCTGGTCTTCTGATTTTACTCCTGTAATACAATGGTGCTGTGTGTTAACAAGTGAAATGCATGTAATACTTTCACTATATTATATTTTAAAAATAAGCAGTGTGATAAAAGATAATAACATTAGATTTGAAAAAAGATATGATGGCAGAACAGGTAAGCATTTTCATATATTAAAAAATATATATATAATCCCACTTCACTTACCTGTTAAACCATTGCAGGCCTGGAAAACGTCTTCTGGGTACATTTTGGTTGCTCAAGAATGTTCAATTTAAAATATATCTTGATATATTGTCAACAATAATTATGGATGACATGTAGTATACTTTTTAATTGTTCTTTTAAATCAGGGGTGTCCAAACTCAATCCTGGAGGGCCGGTGTCCAGCAAATTTTAGTGTCAACCCCAATTAAACACACCTGAACCAGCTAATCAAGCTCTTTCTAGGTATACTAGAAACTTCCACGCAGGTGTGTTGCAGAAAGTTGAAGCTAAAGTATGCAGGACACTAGTTCGGACACCTCTATTTTAAATCCCTTTAAAAAAAAGCTTAAAACCTTAACTCTGCATTTCTTGGGGCTGTATAAAAACAGCAATTGAACATAACGTCTGCTTTTGTGTTTTGACTATGATGATGAAAGTCATATATAATATATTTTCTGTTCATTTTTTATAATATTGTGTTAATGTCTACTAAGAAAGCAATAGAGATTGTGTGAGATTCAGTTCGTTACTGCTAAATAAAATGCACCTTTTAGTAAATGAGATTTTAAAATGGCAGAACTGTTTATTATTTAGAAGATAGTTTCAATTCACAATGAGTTTTGCAAAATTTGGTAACACTTTATAATAACTACACACTACCAATCATTTTATTAATAATTATCAAACAGCTAACTCATTATTCGTTAAGCATTAACTCTACATTATTAGACGTTAGTGAGCAGTTTATAACTGCAGCTACAAATGCTCTATTTTTGACTTATAAGCACATTTATAAGTTGCTTAATAATTATATTATCATACTTTATTACTTGTTAATTAACATTACTACATTCAGTATTTCACTATTTACAAACCATTTGTATTTAAGAGTAGTTGGTGGCTTTGACAATCATTCAGAATGAGTTAGTAAATAATAATTAAACTATTCATATCAACATTTATATATTTTACTATTCGGGAAAATAGTTTCATTCATTCATTCATTCATTCATTTTCCTGTCGGCTTAGTCCCATTATTAATCCGGGGTCGCCACAGTGGAATGAACCGCCAACTTATCCAGCAAGTTTTTACGCAGCGTATGCCCTTCTAGCCGCAACCCATCTCTGGGAAACATCCAAACACACATTCACACACACACACTCATACACTACGGACAATTTAGCCTACCCAATTCACCTGTACTGCATGTCTTTGGACTGTGGGGGAAACCGGAGCACCCGGAGGAAAGCCACGCGAAGGCAGAGAGAACAAGCAAACTCCACACAGAAACGCCAACTAAGTCGAGGACAGCACAACCTACTGCGCCACTGCCTCACCTCAGGAGTATAGTAATGGTTAATATTTATGTTAATAAATGTTTTATTAATTCAACTTCAGGCAGTTTTTTGACCTAATCCAAAGTAGGGGACTAAAGTGAGGACTATTTATATTTTGTAAATCCCTTATAAATGACAATTAAAGGCTCAGTATCAAATAAACAATAAATGTTTGAAATCTTATGTAAAAAAATAAAATTACTGTAAACTTTAAACATTGCTGAATAACAGGAGTGTCAAAATACAATTATAAATAAATACAATTAAATTAAACAACAATATAATAATTTAACAATATTTTATGTTACAACATTTCAATGTTATTTAGCAAAGTTTAAACTGCACAGTCATTTTATTTAAGCTAAGACTGCAAATATTTATTTTTCACTTGATAAAGTTTCAGTTGTGTATCTTCAAATGAACAGAAATTAATAAAGTTGTTTACTTTCTTTTTTCCCTGTTTAGAAGATAACTGAGCCTTTAATTGTTATTTATTAGGGATTTACAAAGCATAAATATACCTCACTTCAGATTAGGTCACAAAACTGGAAAAATTGACTTAATAAAGCATTTATTAATATACAAATTAACTATTAGTATATGCCTGAATAATAAGTTATATTAATGTTAATTTTAATCATTTACTTACACATTCTGAATGATCTTCAAAAACACCAACTATTCTTAAATAACTAGTTTGTAAATAATGCAATACTTAAGAAATGAAAAAATAATAATTACAAACTATGTAAGTACAATGATTAAGCACATTATACATGTGCTTACAAGTCAAGAATAGAGCATTTATATCTGCAGTTAACTGCTTACTAACGTCTATTAATGTAGAGTTAATACTTTACAGACGATGAATAAACTATTTGCTAATGCTTAACAGATGATTCATAGAGTGTAGCTATTATAAAGTGTTAGCCAAATTTGGTATTCATTTGCTGTGTTTTTATAAATATGATTTATTATTATAGATCATGAGTTGCCATACCTGGATTTAGCCTTGTGATTAGGGCTGAGCGTTATGGCAAAAATGCAAACCTGATCATTTTTTAGATATTGAACAATAACGATAAATTTCAATGTAAGTTGTTAATGCTTCCAGCTTTAAAAGTTACTATCCCAACAATGTCTGATGCAACCAAAAATAGAGGGTTCAATAAATTACAATATTGTTTATTAGCTAAAATAGATTACACATTTAAATTAATAGTAAAATACATTTAAAAAGACTAATCTAGCATTATGAGGTTAGTTAAATGTGCAAAACAAAAACAATAAAAATATACAGTACATCTGTCGACACATTGTAAAACTTTCAGTTTTATTGGGGCTGATATTGTTTTAGGTGAGTGAATAGGTTGGTTTTGTTGCCATACTTGGTTTTCACAAACCATTGACATACTTTACAGATCGTTTTAATTTGCTCCATGTGACACTTCAGATAGCTAAACCACTTCCATATAACAGAATTCGTGCTGCCTTTTTTGTCGATAATTTCATCATCTTTGAATAATAGGTTAGTTTACGTTTGTCACTGCTTCCACTCATTTTTTCTTTATTTTTTTCACCTTGTCGAGTTAGCTAGCAAAGTGTGATAGGAAATGGTCTTTTGACTTCATGCTGATTGGTTGTTGTTGTCGCATATTGCTGCTGTGTGATTGGCTCCTAGATCAATATCGAGTAAAAATGTCCAGAGCTTATCATCGTTATCGAAATAAATTTTGTCCCAATTCGACATGATATCGTTTGTTGACCCATAAAAGATATCATGTGCTTGCATAAATCTTAATCTATTACTTTATGAACTGTTCAGTTTAAAACCTTTCAAAGCATCTTTCATCAATTAAAAGTATTTGTCTCAAACACCAACAAAGGGTGTCTCACCTGTGTCCAGATTGTGGTCAATGCTGTCCCGGGACACACTCTGCAGTCGCTTCATGTACTCGCTGCTGTACCAAACACCAAGTTTCTCGCCCACCTTCAGTCTGTGACACACTCGAAAGTAGATTTGATCACCATGTTGAAACGCACTCAGGTTCTGTTCACTCTCATCAGAAGTAATGTGGATAAACCTGGGAAGAATAAACAAACTTAGCATTCTGAATATAAATATATTAATACAACCAAAAGACAACAACGTTTGCATGTTTGAGAATTGTGTAATGGAGGCCAGCTGCTAGTACTGTAAAATTGGTGCCGTGACCCGGAAGGGACTTTTACCTTCTCGAAGAAAACACATCTTTTGAATGCATCAAACCTCAAATAAGTGATAACGACATGTCTAGCATTGTGTTCTGCAGCTCGATAAGTGTTTTGTTTTAAATTTTGAGATTTTACTGTACCTTCAGTGTCAGTGAAAGATTGTCTAAGAAATTCACAAGCAGCAAAATGTGCCCAAATGTAGGTTTTAAAAAAGTATTTTAAATTACTTGCATATCTCGCCTCCCTCGCCATATTATGTCACCATGACAAATGACATCTGAAAACCATCAGTACATCACAACCGAGGTACCGATTATGGCCTGTAGCTAAATTAATACTAAATGATCCTCATCTATACCATAAAAATGATTTTGACACCCCTAAAGTTTGAATTTGTGATACAATAGCTATAATTCCATCCACCTATTTTAAGCAAATGCATAATTTTAAATTTAAATGCATTAATTTACATGCAAATGCGCATTAAAAAAACAGTTGATGGAAACGCCATGATGCGCATACATTTTGAAAATGCGCATAAAAAACGTATGCGCCTAACTGGGTAGGATAAACTTTTTATTCGATAAGAAAAGATGCGCATAAACTGCGATGGAAACACTTTTACCGCACAAACTCCAGTATGCGCATTGAAAAAGGTCATGTGATTTTGTTAAAAGAGATCATGTGATGCTTAAAATGTGTGTGAATGGACAAAACGTCAGGCTGAGCACATTATAAAACATCTGAAATGTTGTTTTGGTCATTATAAAACGCATTACCATTTCAGTATCAATGTTATTATATTATTAATGACCTCCAGAATCAAGAGCGTCTGTGCTCCGCGTCTGACACCTTCAAACGCCACTGCGTGCTCACTGCTTGTTAGGATAGTCTTTTGATAGGCGCTTTCATTTAGAAAAGATTGATGCAGCTTCTCCTACTGCAGCAAATGCAGTTTTTACTGTTGATATTTGGCGCCAGTTAATCAGGAAGTGACGATTTTGTTCGCTTTGACTCGTTGGATGGAAACAATGCTTCATTCCCACAACTTTTATGCTATAATCCAGTTTTGCGCATAAAGTTTATTCGCATTTTTGGATGGAAACATAGCTAGTGTCTCTAAAACAGACCTTTAGCAAAACATTTAAATAGACTACTGTGTGTGTGTGTGTGTGTGTGCATGCGTGCACCATCAAACTCAAGTAAGGCTCCCATGTTCTACTTCACCACATATTAGAGGTAGTTGCATGTACTTTTCTACGTGTCCACAGATTTTTTTTGCCATGCATATATCATAGACCTCTTTGTGACGCTGCTGTGAAATAGGCCGTTCATATATCTCGTCTTTTCTGCGCATAAGTTTATTTTCAATGGAGTAGTGCGGCTTGCTCATGCATATAGGGAGCGATGTGCGCAAGTATTTCAGGCACACCCAGTTGAAAACATCTCAGCTTTTCAGACTGCCGTGAGCGCACCGCGAGTCACATAACAAGAACTGACCGAGAGGCTTCATACTTTGTCTGATATACATTCGCTTTATACTTTGTATATTCCATACAGATACAGAACACCCAAACACCCAGTGCTTTTAAAATTTCTCCATAAATAAAACAATTTCAGTGCAAGCGCAAATCGCATTGAAAATGCTGATGGAAGTGACGCACCACATGCTTTTACACATGATATGTGACTGACAGATCTTACACATTAGCTGGTTCTGTGATACATCAGTCTTCCTGTATGCAAAGTAATCCCTCGCCACAGATTTTGACTTTTTTGGCACCAAGTCCTTCAGTGCTGAACTCACCATCCTTGTTTATGCAGGCTATTTGTCTTTAAGCTCTTTAAGATTTAGAAATTGTGCATGTTCAAATCGAGATTTCAACATGATATCCATTAATCGCACAGCCCTAAAGCGAGTGACACTGATTCAAGTTCTAATTGAAGTGGTGTGGATAAACCTGGAGGGGTTACAATAGCAACAGAACACTTTTTTTAGAAATGATAAAGAAAAATGAAAATGAGTGTGATGATGTTATTACCTCATCCAGTTAGCTGTAGCTTCGTCACTCCCATCGATGAATTTATATTTGCTGTCCTTATCAACAATCTAAAAAAAACACATTAGATATTAGAATGCAATTTTACTTGCACTTAAAAATTTGTACAATTACATACATCTACGCTAACAAAACCTACCATCCAAGAGTACGGCCCTGAAGGTTTATCTGAGGCCATTATTTGGCCTTTATAAGGACCAAACAGCGCCCCCTTTGGTATTTTTTCATCCATGCAGTAGACATCCACCTTATCGCCATTTCTTCGCACTTCGATGCCTGAGGGTGCGGTGAGAGCTGCCCGATTGGGCACCCCTGATACCACAGGGGTGTCTGGCACAAAGACAGGCGGCCCATGGGTAGGACAATCCTCCAGGTAATACTTCTTGCACTCTTCGCAGACTATAGATATAAAAACATAAATATATATATCTAAAAATATATTCATAAATCTACACAGTAAACAATTGTGGAAATGTAACCGATACTTACACCAAAAACTGGAATAACGCTCATGTTCTACTTTTAGCCTTTTGTTTGGCTCTTCAGTTGACTTCTCATTTGATGCACTAAGGTAAATAGATTTTAAAAAAACCTACTTAATACCATGGTTTTTCTATTTTTATGCACTGTAATTACTACTTTTTTAATTGCTTTATACACTTTTCATGGCTGACCTGGTGCTGCATTCGCCTTTAGCTTCCATGGAGGAATGATCTGGATTGGTGGAAGAATCTGCCATGATCTGGGCAGGATGGAGTCTCCGCTTCACTCCGACATATTAATGCTAAAGTAAAATGAAGGGATAGGAGTTTTCATAAACAGATCTTTAAAATCTAAATCATAATTAAAAATCGTGAAAAAATTTACTCATAGCACAAAATAAAAACTTTAAAAATGTTACATATGAATACATAACATTCAGAACTACATTACTTAATTTATACATCATTTTAAAAGTGAAACACTGATTGTATTGCATATATTTTAGAACCTAACAAGCAGTTATTTACATGCCTTTTATATGTCAGATTATTTTGTTATAATGCCCAAAAACAATAAAAAATATATGTATATACTGTACATACAATATCAAAATAACCATCAGACCAAAGAATAATATCATTCTTAACAATGAAAAGCCAGCGACGCAGTAATTAGTGCTGTCACCTAACCAAGAAGGTCGCTGGTTGGAGTATCAGCTGGGTTAGTTGGCGTTTCTGTGTGGAGTTTGCATGTTCTCCCTGTGTTCGCATGGGTTTCCTCCGGGTGTTCCGGTTTCCTCCACAGTCCAAAGACATGCGGCACAGGTGAACTGGGTAGGCTAAATTGTCCGTAGTGTACGAGTCTGAATTAATGTTTCCAAGAGATGGGTTGCAGCTGGAAGAGCATTCGCTGCGTAAAACATGTGCGGTTCATTCCGCTGTGGCAACCCCGGATTAATAAAGGGACTAAGCCAAAAATAAAATTAATGAAGACAATGAAAAAACACACAAATAAATGGAAAAATTGAAAGAAAAAATAATCTAATAATGAACATTGAAAATGCTAAATTGAGATTTACAACTCATAAAAAATAGGAAAAGAGTTACAAACAGATGAAAGTGTTAGAGGCTTTTTGTTCTTAGACAATTGAATCAATGAAAGGTACTGCTCAAATTATTTTTTTAAAACAACAACATTTATTGAGTTTGAATATTTGGACTTATGAATGTGCAATTTTGCTAGCAGCAAAGCCAAGTTTACCACATACAACTGTTTTTCTTTAGACTGTTTTTAGTCTTTTGCCCCTTTTAGACAAACTTTTTCCCCTTCTTTTTAACAAAGCACATCACTGGGACGTAGTTTCAATTACAAAAAGTCATATATGTCAGCTTTACCCAAGTACAGTAGGAATGACTGTGACGTCATTCTGGTTCTACTTTCTCATATTGTTTATTTCAAGCTTTTTTTTTTTTTTTTTTTTTTTTTTAAATAAATCTTTATTTTACAGTCAATGGTTCAATATTGCAATAGTTACATGTTAGCCAGTCCTTTAATCAGTCTACTGCTGAGATACACAAAATTTCTCACAAAATACAAAACTCCGGTAACTCCTAAAGCAGTGGTAGGGAACCTATGGCTCGCGAGCCACATCTGGCTCTTTAACCAAATATACATGGCTCTCCAGCAGTCTCCCTACAATAATATTTTATAACAGTTTAAAAAATTCTAACCGTCACTAGAAATCAGTTTCCGATTGAAAATACAATTATAAATCCCCTTTTTAAAATGAATGAAATCCCTTTTTAAAATGAGCAAAATGAATAAGAACTCAGTTAATAATAAAAGAATGTTTCAACCAATCCACATGTGCAGCATTATGGATAAACGTGAATTGCGACACTAATAAAAAGCAAACAACTTGCATTACTTATAGTAATCTTCTCATGTATGTAAATTCAAACAACATCCATGAGTGCTGACGAAAAGAAAAACATTCTATAAATTGTCCTTTTTTTCATTCATGGACTTGCTCTACATGTGATGCTTCATATTTGTTTATTTTGGAGTTGTGCATGGACATAAGGTTTTTATTTAAACCCGTGTATTTATAGCAGTAATCTATCATCTTGACCATGTCTACATGCCTCAATGCATTGAGTTGCTGCCATGTGATAGGCTGATTACAAATTTGCATTAAGGTGTTTGACAGGTGTACCTAATAAAGTGGCCGGTGGCTCTTTATAAAAAAAAAAAAAAAAAACATTTGCTAAAAAAATCATACATGACTCTTTGCTGAAAAAAGGTTCCTGACCCTGTACTAACAAGTTTGCAATACCTATAGGCGCTATTCCTTCTGGAGCAATACAGTATCACTAGGAACAGTTACCATTCCAGAACCAGTTAATATGCCCACTGGTGAAATTTGTTTTGCTATAAAGAAAATCAAGCTCTGTTTCTTGATAATACTATCTCTACCCCTCCTGCTCTCTCACATTGGAACAGTCTTTTTGAGCATTTAAACTGAGAAAATATGGTCCATGCAGCAAAAGGTTTTCCTTCCTAGGTAAAGGAAATAAATTATTACATGCCATTTACCCAGTCAAAAACTTCTTAAAGAAAAGATTTGGATCTGACTTTAATACAAATTGCTCCATTTGTCAGAATAACAATGAAAATCTTCCTCACTTATTTTGGTCATGCAACTACAGTTGAAATTATTAGCCCCCCTTTGATTTTTTAAAATATGTCCCAAATTATGTTTAACAGAATAAGGAAATTTTCACAGGATGTCTGATAATATTTTTTCTTCACAAGAAAGTCTTATTTGTTTTATTTCGGCTAGAATAAAAGCAGTTTTTAATTTTTAAAAAAGCTATATTTTTTTGACTGTCTACAGAACAAACCATCGTTATACAATAACTTGACTAATTACCCTAACCTGCCTAGTTAACCTAATAACCTAGTTAAGCCTTTAAATCAGTCAAATATTCAAATATTCATCATCGCAAAGATAAAATAAATCAGTTATTAGAAATGAGTTATTAAAACTATTATGTTTAGAAATGTGTTGAAAAAATGTTTAATCCGTTAAGAAGAAATTGACTGTCTTCAACTGTATGTGCTCCAATTTTGGCAAGATGTTAATTTATTTATCTCAAATATTACTTCACAGAATTTTTCTGACTCAAAAAGTAATTATTTTAGGTTTTTTTATATCTAAAATTTTTCATGCCTTTTTTATGCAGATTTTATATTCATAAATGTAAATTTTAAAATTGCAAGCCAATATTTATAGCATTTATCAAAGAGATTAAAATTACTTACAATTCCAGATTCACTTAACAAGCACTCCACGCACGTATATTCTATTAAATCTCTAAATTGCTGTCATTTTCTTATATTGCCCTATTAACTGACAATTTCTTTATTATACATCTATTCTCAGATCAGAAAACCTATTGATATTTCTTTGTTTTTTGTTTGATTTAAACAATCTTCATTCTTTATAGGCATCATTGTAAATAATCTAATGATTATTATTGTAAATGGTGTGTACAAATTGTTTCTTCTTGTTATACAATAAATATTACAAGCTTCTCTAGGTTTATAAATGATACCTTAAAAGTTGCTTTCATAAAACACCCATAACACGACAAACCACACGGTAGTTCAGTGAACACGAAAAGTGACCGCAAGAAACCCTCACTCTGTTCTGCTGACGCTTCCGATACAGAATCTAGTTCCAAAATATTTTAGTCAGAGAAAGCTGCGCCCTGATTGGCCAACCGCGCCATCACTCACAAACTACCCGAGCTGAGAGAGAGATACGAGTGCAGGAAAACAAATAGGGCAACAATGATCTCTTGAAAGACGAAACTGCTGCAAAGTTGTGCTCGTCTAAACACTGTGAGGTAAAAGTTGCACATACGATCAAGCGCAGGCGTTGACAATGATAGTGCGCAGCGTTTCTGCAGGCTCTGCCTCCGTTTGGCGTCTGCAAGGCAACTGGCAATTTGCCTAACGCTTTCGGAAGCCATTTTCATTGGCCACATTGGCTAGTGAATGTAACTCACCGTCTATAGGATATACGCAGTGCGTCGCGGGGTCTTTGGTGGTCTTCTTCAGCTGCGGCGCGTCTCGGTTTCGGCCGCTCCGTGGACCGCGGCGGCGAGGCTACGGCACGGGGGGATTTCACTAGTCCCGGGCGATGCAAAGTTTATCATCTCCAAATGTTTGTACCACAGTCAGCTGCTTCTCTCTGCTATGACCACCATCTTTTTATTACAGGAAATGACATGGAAAACGGAAGAAAGCGGCGTTTGTGCAGACCGGGCACGAAATTTCAGGAAAGGGAAAGTTAGGTAGTGTGTCAAGTTGTGTGAGGGAGCGTCTCGCGCGCGCGTTCATTTTTGGGAACGCGCCTAACAAATATTGGCAACATTACGCAGGCGGTTTGTGTGTGAAGTTTAAGGTTTTAAAAATGAACAGCCTTTCCCCTATTTTAGTTTTACATCTCCAAGCTCTCCGCAGTTCTGTCAGTTATCACTACTCTTCAAACTTTGTTGATAATGTCAGCCTTAAAGGGATAGTTCACACCACAAATGAAAATGTACCCAGTTTACTCGTCCTGAAGTGAGTTAGTTTCTTCTGTTGAGCACAATAGACGATATTTTTCAGAGAGATGTAATCATTGGCTTCCATAGTAGGAAAAAACTAATAATATGGAAGTCAATTTCACAGGTTTCCAACATTTTTCAGAATATCTTCTTTTGTGCTAAATAGAAATTAAGGTAACGTTGGTTTTATATTGGCACATTTGTTCACAAAACTTGTGACAAGTGTCTCCCTATATTGCTTACCATGGAACTTTGAATATTCGATCTAAAAAAAATGTGTAAGTACTTCTAAACAACAATAGCACTATTGAATTGACTGTAAATATGTGATATTTTAATAGTCATCGGCTGCTAATATAAGATCATTAAGTCAAATTCGTTAAGAGTAATTTTCTAAAAATATATTATTAAGGAGAAACTTTCAATGTGTGAATAAAAAACAACTTTACCACAAATTAAATGAAGATATTTTTGAAAGTAACAGGTTTTTGGATGAACTGATCTATTTGAGCGAAGTTTTCATTTTCTGATGAGTGCTACTTTGAAATAAGCGTATAGTTTGAACAGCACACACAGACTGCTGTTTATGTACTACTACAAAATATTACTATGTTAACGTTAACATGGAACCATGTAGCAATTGACAATAAAATAAACACTATCTACATTTGCTAATTGTAATGAAATAAACACTATCTACATTTGCTAATTGTAATGAAATAAAATAGAATCTTATGCACTAGAACTTTAATACATTAATTTTCTTTTCTTTATTAATCAGGGGTTGCCACAGTGGAATAAACTACCAACTTATCCAGCATATGTTTTAATCAGCAGCTACACTTCCTGCTGCAACCCAGTACTGGGAAAGTTTATTCAGTTCACCTACAAAACATGCTTTTGGACTGTGGGGGAAACCGGAGCACCCGGAGGAAACTCATGCAAACTCCACACAGAAATGCCAACTGGCGCAGCCAGGACTCAAACCAGTGACCTTCTTGCAGTGATGCGACAGTGCTAACCACTGTGCCACCATGTCGCCCTACACTGTACATTTTTACATGAAAATACTGCATTTCTGATTTAGCCTATATTGTCACAACTATTTATACACGTATCCAAGCTGGTTCATGGATATACTTGGCAGAAAGATTACAAACAGCAGAGTTTTATGTGTGGATGAAAATTTATACGGTCCAGTAAATGATTTTGCTAAATATACTGTGAAAATTAAGATGAAGCCATTAGTTAACAGCATAAATATTTAACGGTTTTTAAAAACTGCAATACACACTGTTCATACACAGACACACTATTCACCACTCTAAAGCTGCGGTCACACTGGACTTGTCTCCCCATAGACTTCCATTCATACACACGCAAATGCTTCAGACCAGAAACGCAAGTTTCGCAGGTTGCTGCGGTGCAAAGTTCAAGCTTGGTGAACTCTTGACCTGCAAAATCGCATCACTTGACTGCATGAGACCAATCGAGGTTCAAAATATGACCTTTCTAAACAGGAATTTAAAACATTGAGCAATCGCTCGCTTTTTAACTGTCTAATCATCTTGTTTAATCCCGGCCCTTTTCGCAGCGCCGTACGACAGAATTTCGCACACACAAACTATAGTTCCTATAATTCTATAAACTAAAATATCCATGTAATATAAAGTTCAGTGACTTTTATGATCAAGGATTATGCAATGTTGCAGCATTGAGCAAAATGCATTGATTTGTACTCTGATGAAACACTGATGAAACACTATCTATGCTCAAAACAATCATTCGTTCATTTTCAACCTTTTTTCCGAGGCTGTGTCAAAGGGGCAGCAGTCTTTGAAGAGAACCCAAGACCTCCCTCTCTCCAGGACCCTGAGGCGTTCCCAGGCCAGCCGAGAGACTTGGGCTGTTTCTCTATTCCAAGAACGCAGAGAACGGACTTGTGTTTTTGTGGAGAGCGGTCTTGCCAGGTGTCCTAGGAAGAACGAACACAGGAGACCGCGAGGGCAGAGAACGCGTCCTTTGAGAATTGAGATGCTGCGTTCTTCCTGATGGTCACATGACCTTCACATGTTTTAAATAGTAAATTATTTAAACATTACAGCCTTCATACAACGATTTATTGTTTTTACCCTTTTCAAAATATATACTTTGCATAAAAATATTGTAAATATACTCTGCACAATATAAATAAAACAGATTTTAATACAAATTTCAGCAAACAAACACCCTTAATGTGTTTATTCCTTTATTAAGATGTTCATGTTAATGTTTACTTTCACCGTTTCATTTAGGGAAACTCCTGAGGTAAAAAGTCATATCTATGAGCTTTAATAATAAATCTAGATAAAATGCTGCACTTCCCACCTTCAGTCGCAATGACTCCTGGGACTTCCAGAGCGAGTTCGGTGCTCAAGTCTGCATCAGTGCGTCCTCGATATCAAGATCACATCCGGAAAGTTTCATGCGTCCTCCGTGCTTGCGGTCTTAAGTATTGGAACTGAACTTAGGCAGCTGATGATGACGTTTCACGAGAACACGAGGACGCAAGACCGCTGAAGAACGCATATTAAGAAACAGCCATAGTCCCTCCAACGTGTGCTGGGTCTTCCCTGAGGCCTCCTCCCGGTGGGACATGCCTGGAACACCTCCCTCTGTAGGCATCCAGGAGGCATATGAAACAAATGCCTGAGCCACCTCAGCTGACTTCTCTCGACGTGTAGGATCAGCGGCTCTACTTCAAGCCTCTCCCAGGTGACAGAGCTCCTCATCCGATCTATAAGGGTGCGCCCTGCCACCCTGCGAAGGAAACTTTATTTAGCCGCTTGTATCTGAGATCTTGTCCTTGTGGTGTTGACCATAGGTGAGAGTAGGAACGTAGATTGACCGTAGATTCTTTACCTCAGCGGACCAGTACATCAGCCGCATTACTGCTGCACCAATCCTGCAGTCAGTTTAATGTTCCATCCGTCCCTCACTCATGATCAAAACTCCAAGATACATGAACTCCTCCACCTGGGGTAAGGACCTTCCTCCAACCTGGAGATGGCAAACCACCTTTTTCCAATGGAGCAGCATGACCTCGGCTGATTCTCATCTCAAACTAATCAATTAAAACCTAAATTATCTTTTTGTTTCCAATAGCAGAAATATAATTAGCTTTAAGGCACACACATTTTTATTTTAAATAAACAAGTTTTGCATCTTAAAGGCATCCTACAGCTAAATGTCCCTAACCCTTTAAATGCCCCGCCAAGACAAACATGTTTGGATTGCATTTCTTAACTCATAATGTTGCTATTTAACAAACTCGATGCATTTTGTTTCCACACATCCCATAATTTCTAAAATATCAGCCTCTACCAAATGGTTGATATGTCAGTTTGTGGTAAAAGTACCAGAATTAATACATATACCTAAAAAAATCAGAAAATATGGAAAAAAGTGCAAGACTGATTTATTTTAAAAAAATCTAAATAAAACATATTTAAATACTGAATCCTCTTTATTTGATGTTATAAACATTTCAGATTCTCATTTTTTTTTTTTTACAATAAAGCCAAAATCAAGTCTAGTAGAGCAACAGGATTATGTATGTTTACTTTTTTTTGTAAACCAACAATGCTGTGTGTGTGTAAACTATTATTAAAAACAGTTAAAATATGGTCAACCATTTGGTAGAGCAGCCAGTTAAAGGGTTAAAGCACGGGGTGTGGTAACATTTAAGGTTAATGGTGCGTAATTCACCTGCATCCAGCCCTGATGTTTACTTTTTAAAAATACTGTATCAAATGCTACATGGACATTACATGCAGTGATGGGCAGTATTTATGATACATGTATTTTGTAACTAGTATAAGTCTAATAAAAATGGCTTAATATTTTTGTATCAAGATACTTTAGCGTCTTGTATTTTTGTAGTTTCAAAATACTATAAAATACTTAGCAAGAAGTCTACATGATCATATCTTAAAAATGAGGCCTGTGATTGGTGCTTTCACAGTTATTTTCCTTAGCTTGAGATCAAAACAGAAAATTGATAATTTTTAGAAGGTGGTCAATGATTGCTGTGTGGATGGAAATTATGCTTAAAGAGAGTAACAGACAAATGGTGAGTATATATTCAGGAGCAACAACCATTCAAAAGAGTATACCGAGCAATGCTAGCCCCGAATATATAATGGCTGTAGCGTACGATTTGGCTTCTTTGCTTAAGAGATGAGATAGAATCAATCCTGAAGAACAAAATGGGGAGCTTCAGAACATCAATCTCAGTGATTCAGGAGGAAATGCAGAGGAACTTTATAAATATAAGACACCTAAATATGATGTGTTAATGTTTTTAGGAGGATAATTCGAGACTCTTCCAGTTAAAGAAGAACCGGGAGAATCTTGGAAGAATGACTGTACAAATAATGGATGGATTGTAATTTGCAAGTCAAAGAGAACCACAAGTTATCTTTGGGTTACAAGTCCAATTCGTCAACCATTAGGTCACAACTTTACCCTGTAGGTCAGGGATTACCAAACTTATTCCTGGAGGTCCGGTGTCCTTCAGATTTTAGCTCCAACCCTAATCAAACACACCTGAACAAGCTAATCAAGGTCTTAAGTACACTAAAAATACACAGGCAGGTGTGTTGAGGCAAGTTGGAGCTAAACCCTGCAGGGCACCAGACCTCCAGGAATGAGATTGGTGACCCCTGCTATAGGTGAACAAAGTGCCAAACAAAAAGTTGTTGCTATGAAGCATTGTTTACTTCCCTAAGTCAATTTAATGATGAAGAGACTGATCGATTATGCCTCTTGAAGGAAGGTTTGCGAAAAAATTTCATGCTCCATATTAAAAGTAGTTTGTATTATATTAAAATACAGTATTTTAATTTGATACTTATTGTGGCTGCTGTATTTTGTAGTTTATTTTGAAACACTTAAAATTGATGTATTTGGCTTTTATTTTAAAATACATTTCAAGGTATTTTGCCCGTCCCTGAATACATGAAGCCAAACTGAATTCAGCACAAACAGGAGGCAAGTATTCTTTATCAATTTATTAACAAAA